TTAACATTTTTATTTTGAGGTACTCTGTTTTTGAGTCTACATGCTTCTTGCTTAGCGTCATATATTAAATAAATAAACATGTCTTGTACTTAATTCGATTTTGATTTGCAAATTCTATTTTACGCCAAAATGAAACTTTGCAGAAGTTGGAGTCTTCGCAGAACTTTAGCATAATTGGAGTCAAAGAGTTTCTCTCTCCTTCTAGCATGCCTTCGTGGCGTAATGGTTAGCACTCTCGGCGCGTATTCGGGAGATCCGGGTTCGAATGCCGGAGACGGCATTACTCATTTTTCACCTCTTCTGCTTCAAAAAACCTAATGACTTTACAGTGGCGCCTTAATTAAAAAAGGTGGTGGATGCTGATTCTTCACCACCAGGATTTGGAGATTTGGTCTCCTAATCACCAGTCGCCCTTTAAAAGGGGGAGCATATAAGGTATTTTCTCCTTCCTTCCAGTATAGTGTAATGGTTAGCACACTCGGTGCATATTCGAGAGGTTCAGGTTCGAGTCTCGGTGAGGGCATTGGAGATTTTTCGTCTGCTGCTTCAAAAAAAAAAAAAAACCTAATGAATATTAATTACCTAGATTTGCAAATTATCAATTTTAAAGATATTAAAATTTACAACAAAAAAATAGATTTTCATTTCCCAAATATAAAACTCATCCATTAGCACTCCAATATTTCCAAAAGAATAATACTTAATACCATATATACTCAACTTCTTAGAATAAAAAATATTTGCAACAATGTTGAATACTTACAAAAATGACTAACTTAGTCAAAATTCTCTTATAGAATAAAACTCCTCTATTCAAAATTTCCATATCTTTAAAAAAAAGCTGGTATTAACTATATTTTTTAATTTCTCGCCTAAAGTGATATGATAATTATTACTTAAACTTTAATCAAAGTTAATAGTTGGATGATTGCAATAAGAAATTTAATGTATACATCTTTAGATCTTTTTTATATTCCCTTTTAATTATTTTTATACTATCTTTCTACTAATTTGTAAATAACTTGGTTTATACGTTAACTGGCAAATCTTGATGTTACTAAAAAATGGGTTTCCTAATTTCAAAGACGTTTTGTACCACGATTACGTGAAGACATCCTACAAGACTAATTAATAAATAACCGTTTCTTTCCTTCTTTGGCGCAAGGAATATTCGTACCCTAATGGTTTACAGAAAGGCCAAACTGCGCAATAAACAGAGATGCCTTTGGAGATCAGAGTTAAAAGGAAAGAAAGCACATTTTCGATTTGCAGAAATATCTCAAAGCTTTTTCCTTTAATTCAAAATTTAAACGTTGCAAGAATATGTTCCAAATAATATTGTAAATATGCATTACATTTTTAAATGCGTTTGCGAATATTCTTATTTAAATATGCCTGCAAAATATTTTACAGAATACTTTTGAACTTGAAGAGGGATCTGTGCTTGATCGCCCTCAAAATCAGTAGAATTTAAAGTATTGTTTCAGTTGGAAATTCAACCAATTTTTGCTAATATTTACTTATGGTTGTTATATAGCGGTCATTTGCCGATGTCATTCTCTTTTCACTTCTCTTCCGAAGTTGCATTATAACTAGTGAATACTGGTTTATTACCAAATCGCTGCAGCATAAATAATCCGACACTGTCTATCTTACAGTTCGATTAAATGCAATACTTAAATTTATATGGATGTGACCTCAAACTCTTACGCAAAACCTCATACACAACTAACATCATATGTAAGAGATACCAACAGTTTACAGAACAGTTAGAAAGCCTTAACAATTGATGATGATATGAAATGAATTCTTAAGGATTACTATCAATTTGAATTGGTGAGCACTTGTCATCCACTGAAGACTCGTGCACATAAATGAAATGCATACATATAATCCTTTTGAGTAACCAAATTTGATAAAAGTATTTTCAAGCCATTTTACATAATATTTCGCAAAAACTTCATGATATTCCATCATCCCTTCCCAGGTAATCTGTGTACATGTCTTTATCCACCATTACTAAAAAGCTTCTGGACAAAAGTTAATAGGTGAATTTTTTTTTTTTGGGGGGGGGGGGTGATGGAATTACTCCTAACCTCTTTTTAAAAAATTTATAATTTTTTTAATTCAAAGCTTCACGGTAGTACATTTTGTACTTTTACAATTCTAAAACGATTTCGATAAAGAATTTTAATAAAACAAATGTTTTGGAATAAAAATTTCTGACAGAAATTATTTACAATGAGAAACGGTGGATTAAATATGTTTTTTCTGCTTTCCGAAGAGAAATATTACTATTGAAAACTCAAAAATGAAATGAAATACATGATAATAAAATTTCTAAATGCAAAATAAGCAATGTTATTAATCAAAAAGGGAAAAAAGCTGTCAAGTATTAATTCTACTCGGAAAGAAGATTCCAAATGAACACCTGAAAAAGGTACGTACTATTTCTAAAGTTAAATCGTCAATAACAAGATAAGATCCGCCGATGCAGAAATCAAATTTAAAGTCTTCCAGGAGATAAATGCAAATACACTGCAACTCTTGATGAAGCATGGATTACTTAAATGACTGCAACAAAAAATAGCCTACTTGTTATCGAAAACGAAAGGAAAAAAATGTTGGAAGTTACAGTAAAGGGTTTTTGATTGTCACAAGATTCTCTTACAATGGGAAATCAAAAATAAGAAGATTGGGGAAAAAACTGTTAAAATCAACTCAAAGTACTATCAAGAGAAAGTTTCATGTCCGATATTTACAGTAAAAATCCTATTCCTTAATCCTAATGACTTTCAGTGAATGAAACTTCAGCAACACAAAGCAATTGAGTCATAGTTCGAAAAGTACCACTGCTTTCCTTGAAAACATGAAGAATGCTACAGCTTTTCAGTATATGCCTGAGAAGTCCCTTATGTTTCACCTACTCTACCTTTGTTCTCTTGAGAAGAGCTTTTTCTAAACGTAAACTCACCAGAAAGTAGTGCATGATGAAGAAAATCAATATAGCTGGAAATTTTATGGAAAGCCCTTCTATCACGGAATCATGATGCAGATTTACAAAGCAAGATAAAGGTTATCAGATCGAACATCTGAAAAAATACATTTTAAATGTTAAACAGCCGCGAAATCGTTAAAATTCTCTACATATACACAGTGTCACCAAAAGTCATTATCCTTCACACATTCCCCCCCCCTTTTGCAACTGTTGGTTGTAGACATATAATTCAAATTACAAAATATTTTAAAAGATGCAAATATTCATGCTTTGGCAATTTTAAATTTTTTAAAAAAAAGCAATTTTTAAAAGTTACAAAAATTTAATTTTTTATATACGTTTGACCAACCAAAAATTTCATTTTAATGTCAAAAGTCTATTTTGGGCCAAACACAAATTGAAGACGGAAATCTTTGCATTTATATATAACTAAAAATATCATATCAGTTTAAAAAAAGTTTTTAACTTAAGATAGTAATTAAATGATGATTAAAACAGTAGATTAAGCGACATGCATTTCTATGCAGACTGTTACATAAAGGTCTGGTCAATGCAATCTTTTTCAAAAAGGAGGTTGTTTACAGAATCTTGCAGAATTCCTGTTTCAAAAACATTGGCAAGCTTCAGCATAAGTACACGACCAACTTGAAACATTTAAAAACATTTTAAATGCTAATAGATTTATGCAAAAAAAAAAAAAAAAAAATTAGCACACCAGTTGTAAATACAAACAAGGAAAAATCAACCTCAAATTATAATTCATTTATTGAATGGCCTCTCAAGGTAAGTTGAACCCCCCCCCCCCAATGACGGGCTCTAGTCATTCATAGGCATTGACCACTACTAAGGCTGAAAGTATAATAGAGGCATTTAATAGGTGGGTCACCATTGCTTCTTCTAAAGGAAGGGACAAATTTTATCCATGCCTTCTCTGGTATTCGAACCCAGGCCCTTTGGTACAGTAATCAGAGTCACCAACTACTTCCTATCTGGATGTCAGCAAGTTGAAAATAACATCAAATATAAATTTTGAAATTTAATTTCTCGGTCAAGTTCAGTCATACAAGAGTAAAACATTTTTTTTTAACGGTTATAAAATTTTCCTAAATACATGTTTATGGATTGGGGGGAACATGTAAAAAGTTACAGTTTGTAGTTTTTACAAAATTAATTTTAAAATGCCAAAACAAGAATACTTGTCTCACTTAAATCATTTTTAACAGGAAGTATGTATCTACGACTAATGGTTACGAAAATATAGGTCAGTTAAGGATATTTGTGGACACTGAGCATATTCATTATTTTACTGAGTCACTGAAAATAATCTGATTTGAAATAATTTTATTAGAAAACTATTTAGGGAAATTAATATTTTTAATGCAAAAATAAAAATTAATTTTTTTAGCATATAATTAATAAATTTTAATATGAGCTTCATAAATCGTCTTGTAGGTATCAAAAGTGTATTCCATTTATATCCCCCAAAGTTAGATCAAATTTGGTGGAACTTTAGTGATGGAAATAATCCAAGTGCTTATTTTGCAACAGTGGCTGTGTCCACTGAAAATTCATATATATATAATAATAATAAAATAAAATAAAATAAAATAAAAAAACCTGCACCAACCAGTTAGACAAGATTTAAATTCTCGGTACCATGGTGTACACTGCACTTTTTGTTACACAGTCATTATCTTCACATAAATTGGCTGTTTAAAGACAGCGCCACTGCTACAGACCAAGATTTCTGCACATGTTAAAGTTAACCTGCCCATTCCTACAGTTAAAGCTTGGATACTTTCTAATCATTTTGTTAACAAACAATGAAATTGATTTACAATAAATCATTATACAGTGATTTAAAATCAAGTCCACCTTTTTGAAAAACTCTACATATTATCATTATTTTTAAACGATGTTTAGGTTTTTTCTAAACTTTTTATCAACTAAAGTATGTTTTCTCCATTTAGGATAAAAAAAATATACAATAAAGAAACAAAACTTGTTAGACATTATAGAATATTTATTCAGAAAATGGCTACAAGTCAATGCTTTGGCATGTCATTCGACTAGTACAATAGGAGAAAAAAAAATTTTTTTAAATAGGCAACATGTATATTCGATACTTTGGAATGTTCTAGGAAAAGAATGATTTCTAATCATGAATCATGATATAATAATGAAAGGCAGATATATAGCTGCATTCAAACATCATAATTATAAGCTTAAACATTAAATAAAGCTTTATTCCTAACAGACAAAAAATTTACAACAGAACATCAACATGCACAAGCTAATGTTAAATAACAATAAAACACAGTTACATAAATAGTAAAAACAAAACCACTAATATAACAAAAATATATCCAATATATATCATAGTGGTCATTAAATGCAGTAACTGGATACGTGTATATAATTTATATAATAAAATACAAAGACAGTACGAAATATAAAAAAATAGGAAAATTTTCAAAACAGATACAGTTATTTGCAATGAAGAAAGTATTTAATCAAATCTGGGGGGGGGGAACTGTTGTGAGCCCCCAAACCACTTTTTTACCATTAATTCAAATGGAGCGAAAAGTTTAAAACATGATATTTTTTCCACATTCCCCTTTAGTTTATTTCAATTTATACTGAATTTTATTGATTCACAAATAAATTGCTTCACAGAACATAATTCTGATTCATTAAAAAAAGGAGGCTTAAAAAAAGATGGCTCCATACACATGAATGATATGCTATAGATATGCAATGAGAGAGATAATTAAATGGCTAAGTATCAGATCATGAATCAAAAATTAAGAAATGTGCTTTATCAAAAATATTAAATCACAAATTATAAGACATTGCTAGTGTATGTAAGGCTGCATATATAAAGACAAGTAGAGTTTACAGAAATACATCTTGAACAGAAAAACAAAATTCCATATTAGAGTCACTAGAATAAAATACAAAGTACATGAAACATCTCTTGAAAAAAAAAATTTTATAATGTCTATAAATTTCAAACCAAAAAATACATTTTAAATCTTAAATATTGTAAAACGGAAAGAAATTAACCCTCTATCACACATTTTCCTTAAAAATTGTGCTTGATTTAGCATAGTTTGAACACGAAAGTTTCATTTCAAATAATCAGAAAATTATTATTTATGAAAACAGAATTCAAAAAGTTCATAAAAAGTTAAAATTATAAAAATATTAAACACAAATTGTGAAAGCTCAGAAAATTTTTTAATGACATAAAAAGTTTAAATAGTACACATGAATAACTATGTAAATAGTGTTTAATTAAAAAAATTTACCTAATATATAGCTGCCATTTTTATTTTTTCAAAATCATGCTTAATTAATATGAAAGAAAAACAAAGACTACAGCTGCAATTTTAAAGATAAATTATATGGAAACAACATTATATACTATGAAATATTTTAAATGTGCTATAAAATAAGAAAAAAAATGTAATATATTACACAACTTTATTAAAGACATTAAACATTAGCATTAATATAAATAAAAACATGTCTTAACATCCCCCCCAAAAAACACAAAAAGAATAATAAAACATGCGCATACATTAATTAAATAAATATATTTTATAAAAAATATCTTTCAATTAAATATCGAAGGCACTACAGTATTATTTTTAAAACATTCAGTGCAAAGTTTAAAGGCTTTCCTATAGCACTTTTCAAGTGTAAATTTTACTTGCTAATTTAACATATTGGTTCAATCAAAACCAATAAATATCACAACACTACAATAGCTATGAAATACATTCAGTCCATAAGAATGCTCAGATGTAAAGTTTTTTTAAGTCCTTCTAAATTAATTAACACACTAAATACTTAAGATAATTTTTTATACAGTAATGAAAATCCACAAAATGAAATGCATTTTTGTTCTTGTTTCTGTTATGCACAATTACAGTACATTATTGCATTTTATAGCATGCCTAGCTAAGCTACCTTAACTCTATTATATTTAAAACTTTCTTTACAAGAAGAAAAAATGGCAAGAAAACTACTTACCATAAAACTCTATACAAAGACTGCACCTTTTTTCTAACAAGATATCAAAACCGTTGAATGTTAATTGATATTATACATAGATACATATACAATTCCACAATAATATCACTTTTTCACTGATGTTCTGCAAAAATTAAAGTCTACAGCATTTTTTTTAAAACTTTAGACAGAATATAATTAATATTTCCCATTTAGTATAACTAAATCTAGAATAAAAAAACTGCTGAGCCAGGAAATGATAACAAAATTTTTCATAAAAATTTTAAGAAAGCTTCTATTTCATACAAATTATAACATACAATCTGAAAGCTGAATAATGTCAAAATACACTTAAACTGCCTCAGTTAAAACATGTAAATTCAAAAGAAAAAAAAATATTGATCTATTTTTCTACATCAGAAATAAATCAAATGCTCAGTTAGCAAATGATGAACATTTTTGTAAATTTCTTTTAAAAGCTGCTATTTCATACTAGTTCTAGAAAAATCTAGAATAAAAAACTGCAGTAAACAAAATTAATAATTAAAGAATTATGTATTATATTCAGTAACATTACTGAAATTAGTTAAGTGATAAATTTTTCTTGTTCAAAAATATGGCAGATTTGAAATTGTTGAGGGTCAGTGAACAAACAAAGAGAGAATAATTACTTTAACACAAAATTAAATAGAAGCCAAATGCAAAACATGTACTTGCAGGCTAAAAAACATAAAATATACATAATTAATAACAATTATACATACACAGCTTTTTTATTATTATTTTATTTTTTTAAACGAAAGTCTTGATAGAAAATTTTTTAATTTTTCTCATCAACTTCCTGGAAAAGCTGCAGCTTTTTTTCTAGCTCTTTGATTCGTTCATCTTTAGCTAGCAGCTTCTTTTTCAGATCTTTTACTTGTGAAGATAATTTTTTGCAAGTTTCGAGTAACTATGGAAGAAAAATAAGATAAAAGCAATTACAATTTAATAACTTCTTAAAAAAACATACAATAGCATTCACATAATTTGCAAATGCTTAATCTGTCAATGCCTGTAATCCATATTCATTTTTGCATGTAAATATACAAAGATTTAACCATTCCCAAAATTCACCATGGCAAGTTTAAGAACAAATTTTTCTGATATGCATATGAAAACAAACTTTTTAATAAAAATACACTATACGTATAATATTCTATAATTTGACAGAAAAAGCAAATTAATTTTATTACTGTTGTTGCTCAGAATGTTTTGCACTAGTATTTTTTTGTAGTCATTATATATATATATATAATTTAACAAATATTCTCTATTCGTATAAAGCTAACATAAATTTAAAAATTAAGAAATTTTAATTGCAAAAATAAAAAATAAAAATAAAATTAGTTATTGCTGCCAACTAATTTACAATATCATTTAAATTCTAAGAGCATATGTAAATTAAGTGCACGTATCTAAAACCAAAAAATATATATATAATACAGTACAAAATCCGTACGTTCATTATTTGGAATGATCTATAATCCGGACCTCAAAGCCACAAACTTACGCATGCGCTTTTAATGTGTGCATCCGCTATGCATGCGCATAAAGCGTTTACCCATGCGCACTTCAGTTCAGGTGCGATGCTGATGCTCTCTTGGGTACCCGTGATGATTTTCGCTATCCCAGTATAACATGACATTTAAAGATTTTCGAACACATGCGAGTTCAGAATTCTCTTATAGTTCGGTGAAGTCCATAGAAAATACACAAAGAAATGAATAATATCACGTCGAGGTAAAACAAAGAGTCCAACTAGAGAGATATTCCAATTGACAAGTTAGTCAGTATTTTCGACACAGCTATTGCAGGACTTGAACAGTGGAACTTTGTAACTGAACACGAAATTATGTCCGTGTATAGAATTAAAGAGAAAGTATTAGCACAAAAAGCGAACAAGAAATTATGTCCGTGTATAGAATTAAAGAGAAAGTATTAGCACAAAAAGCGAAGTTACTTAAACAGCTTACATTGAAAGAAATGTTTAATAAAGTAAACAAATAAATATTAAGCTTTTTTATTGTAAATTTTGATACCCTTTAGATCATAATTGCTCTTTATTTCATAAATTACGGTTTCGTATTTTTAATTGTATAATTTCTGCATGCCATCTTACCAGATTTAAATTGATGATCTATAATCCGGAAAAAGCCCTAATTCCGGAATCGCCAAAGTCCCGACGAGTCCGGATTATGGACTTTGTACTGTATTCCCAAAAAAATTTCCCTCCCCCCCACACACAGGGTTTGGGGATCAACCAAGGAATCCTGACCTGCAAAATTTATGCGCTCTTGATGAAGCTTCCTTTATACATAATTTAAAAATTAAAAATAAAACTTTTTGTAAATTTAATTACAAAATTTAACGTACTGCTTTAATTACAGTAGAGTTTCAAATTGTGTATGCCTCTCATCACAAACATGTCAGTCCAAAAGAATATTAGCTGAACAAAAAACATCTCAGATGTGAAATGGCATCTCAAATTATGAACAATCAAGTCAGCAACAAATGATTTTTGGTGTTTTGAGACAATCTCAGACACAGAATTAACATTCACGAACTGCTAAAAATATCATTTTAATACACAGTGTGCCCATAAAGTAATCAAAGACTGAACTATAAAATAAAAAAGTGAAAGAATAAATTTATGCTTAGAAAGAGTGACATCTTAACTTCTGTTAAAGCCAAATTTACCCAATTATTTTGTCATTTTGCATATCAAAACGCTGGAGTCATCTTCATTGACTGCTTCAAAAATGGAACATTAAGTTTTGTTACAAATTAGATAAATCTGCTACCAAAATGTTAGGGATGAAATGAACAGCATTGTTATCAAGAACACAAGTGTATGTGGTACAATGCTTTAAATGTCGGCTCAAAAACACTATAGATCAGACGGCCTTCAACTTCAAAGAATAAGGAAAAAATTCATTCTCTGGTTAAGGCTGACAGACGTAAAAATTCAGCAACTTTCAGACATGATTGGGATAAGCAAAGAAAGCTGCAGGTTAATTTTAATTGAAACAAAAAGACAAAATGCTCAGTGAATTGGCTCCTATGAAAAGAAAAAGGGAAAAAAAATGCACAGACGTCACAATCAAGAATAAAAAAGCATTGATTATATTCTTTTTTTTTAAATTACAAAGAACTTATTCTCCATGAATGTATCTCTAAAAAACCCATTAATCAATATATTAACAGGAAGAAGGTGCTTCTCTGATTAAGAAACAGGATAAGGCAAGTTGATGAAGGAACTTCCTGATACTGGGCAATGGTTTCTTTTACACAATGCTAAGCCCTACACAGCATTTTATGTACAACAATATCTTGCTAAGCATTCAGGGACAAATCATCCACCATATTCTCCAGACTTATTGTCAGCTGATTCCCCCCCCCGTCCAGAGCTTAAGATGGCCAAGAAAAGACAGAGATTTGAGAACATCTCTGATAGTAAATCAGATATTATGCATATTTAGTGAACAGTTAGTCCCAAGTACTATAAATAGTGTTTCGATAACTTGAAGAAACACTGGAAAAGTTGCATAGATTTATCTGGCAGTTATTTTGAAGGAGATAAATTTATCTGAAGGTTAGTAATACTATTTTTTCTTATTTATAAGAAATTGTCCAGTTACTTTACGGGTGCACCTTGTATTTTCATGTTTAATCCTCATTAACAAAGCCTGGCAGCAGAACCATAAATTTAGCTTGGAAACTAGATTATGTTCCAGGCTTTGATACTGAAAAATGTTCTGTTATAGTAGCCCACTGTTATTATAACTGTGTCTTTATCAAAACCATGGGCTTGGAAGCTAGCAATGAAAATATGAAGGAGTTGCTAAAAGATCATACAAATGAGCTCAAAAAAGAAAGAAATGGAACAACTTCAGAAGGTATACCTCTTTGTTCTGCAAAATATGCTCAAAACAGGGAAAAGTGAAGTTCTCGTGTTGCAATAACACTCTGACATAAGGCGTAGTAGGGTGGGGCAAGATGGTACATCTGTCCCTAGATGCCTGGGCGCAGCATCCAGACAGTGCCAAATTGATGTTACAAAATTAAGAATGAAAGGTTTTCCATTCTTGGCCCACAGAAAGGGGCACAAAATCTCCATTTGACCCTGGTGCTGAAAACCCTATCTACAGTTCTGCACGCTGATGAAGCAATAGCAAGCTACATCAGAAACACTTTCAATTACAATACCATTCTCACTTTAGAAACCAAATAACATTGGCAACCTGACTAATCTCAAGTGTTGCTAAGAGACAAAGAAAAATTAAAGATAATGCCACCAGAAAGGCTGATACTTCCATGGAAGAGGACAGCACCACATCTGAACAATATTTCTTCCCTTTCTCTTCCTCATTACTTTCCAATTACATCATCCAATTTCCTTTGCACAGTACAGAAAAAATTAAATTATAGTTTCATTTTATCTGTGTAATATAGTGTTTATGTCTTTTACCTCAAATTTAATGAATCCTGTCGATAAAATATTTTTAATTTATGAACATTTTGGATGACAAATAGCCTTTTGGAATGACTTGTATTCACAATACAGGTTTCACAGTATTTGAAAAAAGAATATTCTATACCTTGTTATAATTCCACTATGATGAACCTCTAAAAATAATGAAGGAACCTTTGGGTCATAACCAATTTTTGTATGGGAATTTTTATTATCATTTATACTTTATTTCCATATTTTTTCCAGAATTTCTGCAAACTTAAATGAAAAATTTACTAACTCTTAAAAACATTCACATTTAGTATATTAGAATCCACATTCCATCTGCAAAGGAAACCACTTTCCCCCCCCCCATCAAAACCATGGGCTTGGAAGTTCCTCCGTAACATTCGTAAACATACGTCCGAACACGTTCCTCCGTGTTCTAAACAAAGATTGTAAGACAATTCTAGGAGATTGAAGATACAATATGCATATCTTAGGAGAACATACAGTGTTAATGATAATTGCACTAAAGATTATGAATGGGTTCTCTGATTCCATTCAAATTCATTGACTGAGCTGTCAGACTACCAAATCTGATGCTATGATAGAAATTAGAACATTTTGCTATTCAGGGAAAAGGACTAGTAAATTATATGAGCTTCGGGGTATACAATTTGTTTATCTTTTAGGGAACAAAATTTTTATCCTTATTGGTTTCATTTCTTTTGGTAGATAAGATAATGGTAATCAGTCTTTTTTTTTAATTCATCATTTTAATTTTTACCGTTTTCATACTATAATCCATTGGTTACAGTGAACCAAACTTCCGGCCCCTTAAAGTTCACTACGGGGATTCGACTGTACACATACTACTATAGCTCAGATATGATTCCTTGTTAATATGTTCATATTATATAAAAAATTTTGTTTCACTAATTCCAAGTATTTCGATGCAATAATAAATATTAAATGCAGGGGAAAAAGATAAGGAACTAAAAGAAGATACAGATTACATATCAGGAGGTCAAAAAAGTCAATTTAACTTTACAGATATAACTTAGATATCTGCAAAACGTAATTATCTAATGTGGCAATGCATTTCTTCAGATGATAGATTCATTGCTTACAATAATATCATTAATTTACTTTGTTACATTTTTCAGCAGTTCCTGACTTAATAACATTATCTTGGTCAATGTAGCTTTTTCTTGCTCAAGAATCCTAATTCTCTTAGAAAAGCAAACTATGAACTTCTGCAAAACTAGCAGAAAAGAGTGAAACTTGATGGTTCTAAGACACACTATCTTGGCCTTAAGTGTTGCAAAGAATGGATCCATCATCTTAAGCAACACTGGTAGCACTTATATCAAAAAGCTTTCTTTCAAAGGAAAAAAATAATAAAAACACCTTCCTATAGTGAAGTAAAGTCAACCTGAGAGCACAATAAAATTTCAGCAATAAATTTAATACTAATTTTAATGTACTTTTCTACATTAACCATCCTTTTTAATTTACTATACCTCATACAGTCAAAAGTCATTAATTCGGACACCCATAATCCGGAATGATCTATAATCCGGACTTCAAAGCTACAAACTTTCTGCACATGCGTTGCGTTCACGCATGCGCACAGGCATTTACGAGTGCATGTAAGACCTTTACGGCTGCGAATATGTTTGTGTGCATGCGCGTTTAATGTGTAACGGACGGTATAATGTTGCAGATTGCGTTGTTCCTTAATCTTCGAATTGGATCCGGCTTATTATTTTTTCAGACTGTTAGAGCAATTTTATAAAAGTAAGCTTGAACTTTCGATTATGTCAAATAGAATTTCCGATATATATTTACTAATATGTAATTTGTATCTACAAAGCGAAAGTATGTTTCGAAATCCGAAATCTGTTTATCAATTTCACGCCGCGGATTAGAAGTTGATCTGTCAGCACTATCCTTATCTTCAGGGCAGATGTTTTTATTTTATTTGGCTTATAATTCCTTACTAAGTGTAGTATTTCATCTCGATGTACTCCGTCTTTGATATGATTTAAATCAAGTTCCTCGTCATTATAATTCGCTTCCAATAGTGAAGAAAGTGACCCACAGGTTTTTGAGAACGAAAACATTTTGATTGACAAATTAGTCGGTATTCTCAACACAGCAATTATAGGACTTGAACAGCGGAACTTTGTAACTAAACAAGAAATTATATCTGTTTAATAGAATTAAAGAGAAAGTATTATCACATGAAACGAAGCAACTTACATTGAAGGAAATGTTTAATAAAGTAAACAAATAAATATTAAGCTTTTTTCTTTTTGTAAATTTTGATACCCTTTAGATCATAATTGTTCTTTATTTCATAAATTACGGTTTCATATTTTTAATTTTGTAATTTCTGCATGCCATCTTACCAGATTTAAACTGATGATCTATAATACGGAAAAATCGATAATCCGGAATCGCCGAAGTCCCGACAAGTCCGGATTAACGACTATTGACTGTATACTGTACCTGGATATACTCGGATACTTACTGCTATTTTAGGCACCCGAATGCAAGTTTTCTGATCCATTGTAGTACTTTAAATCTACTTTTTAAGGGGGAGTAGAAAAGGGTGTTGTTGTTGTTTTATAAGTTTTATAAAAACTGTCATTCTTATTTTTTAAAATTTCTATCAATTTTGAAGAAACTAAGAAAACAATTAAGCAGCTAAATTTGGATAGCATAACTGGTTAGTTAATGGTTTAAAGACCTAAGATACAAAAGGAGGGAGGAAAACTACTGCAAAAGGAGGGAGGAAAGCATATGGTTACGTAAAATAAATTTATTGGCATACTCCATTCTGATATCCAAATACAAGTTCACAAACAAGTTACATAAAATTTTAAAAACATAAATTTCAATGATAAAGTTATTTATAACTTTATTCTGCTTTTCTAAAATATTTTTACATAGTATATCACGAGATGTGCATTGCTTACATCTTTTCAAGTTAGCTTTCTGCAAACAAATATAAACTATTTCTGTTAAGTACTTTCATACTCCAACCGCCATGTTCACACACACACACAGTTACATAAAAGATGTATTAAAAATATTTCTTACATCTTCATTGTTCAGTGTTTCTGGATTTGAATCACTTTCATGTTCACTAGAACTGTCATTGTCTTGTATAGTCACAAATGTTGCCACAGGTAAAGTATGGCTTGAAACCATGCCAGCTTTTGTACCATTATTACAAGATAACTCTTCTGACCATGGATATTTCTTTGGAGTTGCTTGAATCATAATATTTTGGTTTACACTACATAATAAAAAAAAGAAAAACACCTGCTATTACCAAAGATTTCCTGAGAAAAATATGCATAAATATAAGTGTACATAAAAGTAAGTAACAGTGAGATCTACACGTGTGTGGAAAAATATGACACATATGTTAACACATATTGTGTGTAAAATTTCTTCTCCGGGATATTTTACTAATAATTGTCACAAAATTTAAAAAAATCTAAAATTCTTCTCAAACACATAGGTTTTGAAAGAATAAATAAAAAATTTAAAAAAAAAAAAAAATATTATTAAACATATTATTACAGCTCCTTTTATTTAAATGGCACCAAGATTGCCAATAAATTGATAATGTATGTCACTATGTCACTTGATAAATGGTCAGCAATCCTTAGAAAATCAAAAGTTATTAAAATTTTTTGAGGGGAAAAAATATAATAGGAATACAACATGAGTTTTTCTTGTCGCAGAATGATTACAAATTAATGCGGTTAGAACTACTTGCTATTTGACACTGATTTCAAATATATGTTGTCAATTTAGTCATAATTTTGGTACTGTTTAAATTAAAAGAGCCATAATAAAAAGTTCTCAAACTTTATACTCTGTTTACAAAATTTTTTCTAAAACTCAGCAGTTGTATTTTTTAGAGAATAACAAATCTGCAATTCAATTGTCTTTTCAAATATTTACACATTTCAAATAACATGTCAAAAACAAATTTTTATATACTATATTACATTCATTTTCTTTTTTTCCAAGACATTTTACAAGCAATTGAGTTTTCCCAAAATAACAAATCTGCAATTCATTTTTCCCCAAATATGTAGATGTGTTGTAACAAAAAAAAATGCCCTATTAATTATCACTAAACAGATTAATTTAAAAACATCTTTATACATAGCCTCTATAAAATTTTAATGCAGGATAAGAATGACCACTTTGCTGTATAATTATGTCTCCACATACCCTCTTCGTACTATAGAGCATCATTTCATTCAGGCATATCTTACAGAAACAATTTATGACCGAATGTTACATCCTCTTTTACTTTCATTTATCTTTAGCATCAATTTATCACAGATATGATTCATCACAAACTGCGAAAAAAGGGGGAAATCCCAAAAATTAATTATATCTGAACAACATGAAATTCATCTCTAATATTCCAAAATAAAGAATTTGAATGCAAGTTTGCTGAGCCAAGAGCTATGAAATATAGAATGTAAATTTCCAAACAATGAAGGTATGCATCTTAAAGCTATGTTTCAAAATTCAATTTAAACTTTACTTTTTTAAATTCAATGTTGAAATGACTTTTTTGACAGTTTATAGCACATATCTTTGCTTAATAAACAAAGTAAAAACCTCAGAATTTTACTGTTTGCACCATCAGATAGAGTTAAAAAAAAAAAATCTTTTCAATGAAAATCACACAGATTATAAAACAAATTTTTTGCCCCCCCCCTTTCTTTAAAACAAGAATGATTTAAAAAAAATATTAACTGGGCATTTCTTTAGATTTTTTTTTTTTTTTTTTTTTTTTTTTTTTTTTTTTTTTTTTAATATAATATATTGCGGCGCATCTTTTTTTCATATGGAAATGGAGCATTCATTCTTCCTCAGGCATCATGATAATTTCTTGAAACTATTGTTTTAAGTACATAACATCATTATAAGTCGCACGATTCATTTTTGCACATTCTTTCTACCCACCTAGCCAGTATAGTGATTAGTGGCTCTGACTGTCATAGCAATGGGTCCGAGTTTGAATCCCAGAGAAGGTGTGGTTGTAACAGTCTTCTCTACTATAGGCAACAGTGTCCACTTGTTTAGGTGCCCTTATAATGAATGGCCACCAATTCCAGCCCTTGTAGTCGTGCAAGGCTAATGGCTATTAAATGAAGCACCTGGCCATTAAAAAAAAAAAAAAATTGTTTTCTTCTATACAGAGTTTTCTGGTGTTGATTTTATTTAATCCTTTATTAATTCCTTCCCATCCATACCCCAGCTGTAAAAAATTATTTGAAATTAGGCTTACTACAAAAATCTGCTCCCTCCCTGCCTCCCCTCAAAAACATTTTTGCATTTAATAGTCATATCTTATTAATCTCATTTTTTCTTTCCAGTTTATTAAATAAAACAAGAGAATTTAAAGACAGGCTCCTCTTTAAAATCATTTGCAGTAGAATCTGGAATGTAATTTTTTCCCCCATTTTATAAGTTTACTAGCTGCTTCAGTTTTCAGTCTGGGATGGCAGCCTTTGATTATCATGTGTAATTTGTCAAAGGCTGGCTACACAAGATGCAAGAAAAAAATAAATCTATACAAATTTATTTTCAATGCTTCATATTTTTATTTTTGTTAATTTGCATTAAAAATAAACATGACTAAAAAACAGCTTACTTTTTTTTAAATTTAATTGACAAAAAATTAAAATAGATGCGATAGCATACATTTACAATGGGATACTGCATGAAACTCATTTTTAGTTACAAAAAGCAGAAATAAATATAAAAACTAAAACTGTTAAGCAAAATATATATGCCTATTTACATTAATTAAAATAATGACAATTTTTTTAAAGATTTTTCTTTGTAATGCTTATAGGCATGTACTCTATTTGTCACATATGAAGATATAAATTAAAATTTAATATTATACCAAATTTATATATTAAGTTCAAATGTACATATTCTTAGATAATAATCACTTTTGCATTAAATATTTAAATTATAATAAAAAAATTAAAATGTCAGATTTTGATTAAGACTGTTTTTGTTACAAGATGAATATCATTCATCATATAATACAGTTCATTTTTAGTCAATGATTAGTAGATTACAACATTATAAGATTTTAATTAAGATATTATTAAGTACATACTTGTCAAGAGAAAGACTATCCTTTAACACATTGTTATTTCCATTCAATTTCATAAGCTCTCTATAATCAACTTTGTTCCCTTCTGCAATGAATATAAACTTTTGTTCATTATTTCGGTCAGCAGTCACCAAATACTGCCGATCTGGATTATACAACACGGGCTTGTTGGTTCTCGCTCCAGCACCTGTCTATAAAAAATAAGTGCATAAGTAAATAAGCAAACAGTTTTTTAACAAATGTTATATAAAACATCTTATTAATCATCCAGAAAGAAATACCATTTTGGAAATGGAAAAAAAAATACTTAAAAAGATGGAGAAGCAGTAATACTTAAAAAGATTTTATTTTTCATTTAAAAATTCAAAGTCACCAGAAATTAAATGCTTGCTTTTAGATTACTAGTTATGAGATTATTCAGAATATTATAAGTACCTTCAATGAAATTAAAATTGGATTTCTATTTTTCCCACTTAACCATTCTTTTGCTGTTAGCGATGGTGTTGGTGCAGCAGTATCAGGAAAGATATCTTCTTGAAATTGTTCTGACTGAAAGATAAAGAAATTTTTGTGAAATAGCAGTACATTTTATCATAATAGCAAAATTCTGAAAAATGGAGGCCAGTAGTGATGTCTATAAAGAAACGCAAATTTAAATTCTAAACTTCTGAGAACAAATTTATAAAGCAGAAACAAAATAAGATGATGGCAAAATTTTGTGCTTGATCTTCATAACATGCAGATATATAGATGCAGTGCAGCAATGGCGTTTTATTTCCATCCACGTGGTATACAAATAAATAGGTAGAAGCATGAGCCATTTTAAAGATATAATTGAGTAATTTGAGCATGAATGGATTTTTTTCAAAATACACAGCAAAAAGTTCTATTTGTGCCAAAATATATTGTATTAATTTTTTAACCCTCTGAGTGGCACAGGATTTTAGATCCATCATGAAGACCAGTATTTAAACAGCATTTATTAATTTAACTTGTATAAGCACTTATTTTAGTCTGTATTTTCATAAACTTACATTCATTAAGATGGTATTTACATTATTAAAGAAAGTAAGAAAAGAAAATATCTTAAATTATAAGCTAATATATGCCAAGTAACAAAACTTCTGATGACCGGATAAACCCGGTCATAATGCTCAGAGGGTTAAAGAAGTAAGTTGTAACCACCATAAATAGCATTTGAGGTATGAATTCAAAACTTCCTTTTTCTCATAGCATGGTAAAAATATGGCAGATATGTGAGTTAAACTTGGATGATAAACAATTAAACTAGAAGGCCACTAGACAACCTTCCAGAAAATATGGCATCAAGCATTTTGTTGTCACCTAAAACAAATAATACAAGAATTATAAATAAATTACTAAGAGGATTAAGACTAATAATTTATCTTCCATTCAACATGAAAATTCAATTGGAAACCAGAAGAAAATGCATGTTTTACCATACCGGGGGGAATGTCCTATATCTTACAAAACTTTAAAAAACGTGCACCATAGGAACACATTTTCCTAAGTGCAGAGCAAGAGCAATCTTAATTACTTATTTATATTCATACTAAATAATTACATTAATTACAAAATACATTGTTAAATTATATGAAACATTTCTGCATGCTTAAAAAGCTATTTTCTTCCTTTAAAATCAGATAAACATAGTTGTGGCTCAGTACATGTACTAGCAATTCTTTAGTTTTCTTAAGTTTTAACATGAATTTTAGCCTACTGGCATGAATGCTACTATATCTGCTCCATACTGTAGTAAGCAAAAAAAAGGATATAACTACTACGATAGCTCTATGGGATAAAATTATAAATTAAGACAAAAAAAAAGACAATATATAAACTTCTTAATTGGCACTGCAGAAAACTTTTTGTAGCTATCATAAGAGATATGCTGTTAGCAATTGGATTTTTAGAATCTATGTAATTTACTTCAAGTTAAAAACATAACAATCAGAATTTAAAAATCAAGTTATTTTAAATGTTTAAAAAGTATAAAATAGCTACAATTATTTAGCATAAATAGGTGTATTATTGTACAATACGAATTTCAGCATACATTAAATTAGTATGTGTATAGATACCTCAAAGTTTTAAAGAGAGGAAAGAATTTTTTATAAATAGTTTCATAAAAGTGAATAAATGCTTACTTTTCGAGGAACAATCATGGAAACAGGTTCGCATAGAGGTTTGACTGCATGCAGTTTATAAAAACGAAATACTTCACATCGTAAAACATCTAGGCCTCGTTTGGGCATGAAACCTAAGCCTCTTTGGGGAAAACCAGTTAAAAATTGGTTTAAATAATGGCACCATGGTGGTTCATTGACAATTTCATAATATCGAATATTCCCATCCCCCTAAAAAGGAAAAAAATCAGAATAGTATGATAAATAAGATTATAAAATTGATATCTCTCATTTTAACCAAAATATAAGATATCCTTGTATCTTTATGGGTTAAGGAAGAAAAAAAATGCAGCTTGCATCAGATTTATGGGGTATGCAAAATACAACTGTGAAAAGCATCCCATTTTAAGGAGACCCAGATTATTAATCAATGTTTTTAAAAATAGCAAATATATACTGTACCTTAAGGTGAGTGTCCATTCATCATGCAGACAGCTCCCCCCCTGGCTGATGAACCACACATTGAAATCATAAGGTTTTATATAAAAATCATTCGAGGGTTCTTTTTTTTTTTTTTTTTTTTTTTTTTTTTTTTTTTTAAATTTATTTATTGCATAATATGTGTTATTTTCCCAGGGAACTAGAAAATAGCAGAATTCGTTTTGATATCAAAGAATAATTACAGTAGCTATGGACTAATTTGTCTTTTGAAAGTCCTTGAAAAAATTTTAGATAAACTGATTTTACAGATAAACCGATTATAGTTTTTATTCAAAATTAAAAATGTTTTTATCTGATAGTCATTATGGTTTTACGTCCGGGTGAAGAAATGAAGATGCACTTTATGATGTTATCAATTACATAAGAAATAACTGAAAATAAGAACATGTGGTTGCAATATTGTTCAACGTGAGCGGTGCTTTTGGCTCTATATTCTAGCCTACCCCCCTTAATAAACTTGTCAATATGGGAATTTCAAAAAGAGATCTTTAATATTACAAAGGATTACTTTATTGAATGCCAAACAGTTTAAGATTCTGGAGGTAAAGGTAATTATATTACAATTAAACTTACATGGGCTGTACACAGGGATACTGCAGTACTCTGCTGTATTTGAACCTCATTGCAAATAACTTGTTGAAAAAGAATTCAAAAGAAAACACAAAGTTTTTTTGCCTATGCCGATGACCTCCTGGTCCTTATTGAAGGAAAATCTTTAGAAGCTGTAGAAAAATTCTTTATGGAACTTAAATGCAAACTTGGAGAACTGGGAGACCAAAGAACTTAAAACTTAATATAAATAAAACTAATGCAATTTTTTCCCCTCAGGGTAATCACAATAAAAACAAAATGGCCACAGAATAAGCTTCAAAAAAGAAAATTAAACATTTACGCATTTTAATCAACAACTCTCTCTTCATATTTTAAGGAAATTTAAAGGATATAGGAGGATTGGGAGAATTCTGATCAACTACAGAAGGATAGTGTCAAGAGATGTCAATTAGACATGCCACTCTGATGGTTGTATAAGAAACTGTCTTCATTCTAACAACTGTGTATGGCATAGGTGCAGGGGGTTGCCTTGCAATGGAATTTGTGCATCTTAGAATGAAACTGAGTACTATTTAGACAGCCTGGCTCTTAATGTTAACCACATGCTTCATAACAGTTTCCACAGAGGTAATATCCATACTGACCAATGTGCCCCCAGTCTCAAACCAATATTTATTTTATTACAACAAATTTTGAGAAGAGGTAAACTGGATATTAAATTATATGATGGAAATACTGTTACTCACTGGGCTTTTAAAAGCTTTGATATTAATAAAATACACCTTGCACAGAAGAGATAAATTATGTATTATAGATATCCTCCCCAGGTGCCTATACCGATGGGTCTGATGTCGGGGAGAATATCACCTTTGCCTTTCCAGTTATTTATTATAGAGCCGAGATAGACTGCGAGAAATATAAGGTAAATGAATATAATTCAGTATTTCAGGTGGAGCCAATGGCTATTTACTTCGGTTTAAAAAGGATAAAAATGTTTCTAAAAATAGAATATACTATCAATACAGTCAAAAGTCTTTAATCCAGACGTCCATAATCCGGACCGCAAAGCTACAAACTTTCTGCGTCAACGTATAATGCATTCACGCATGCGAATGATACCGTTTCGCATGCGCATAATATGTTTACACATGCACGTTTAATGTATAACTGACAGTATAAGCTAAGCTAAAATTATCTAATTATCTATTTCAGTTAATGTTGCAGATTGCGTTGTTCCTTAATCTTCGAAATGGACCCGGCTTATTATTTTTTGCAGCCAGAGTAATTTTATAAAGTAAGCTTGAACTTTCGATTATGTCAAAAAGAATTTCCAATTCTGGAGCTGCCGAAGGATCTACAAAGCGAAGGCGTGTTTTGATGTCCATCAAACAAAAAGTGGAATTGCTGCAAAAAATGGATAAAGGCATATCCTTTGTTTCTCTAACCATTCCGAAATCTGTTTATCAATTTCACGTGGCCCTGAGGGGGGGGGACGACGCGGCGTGCAATGAACTGGAAGTTGATCTGTCAGCACTATCCTTATCTTCAGGGCAGATGTTTTTATTTTATTCGGATTATAATTCCTTACTAAATGTAGTATTTCATCTCGATGTACTCCGTCTCTTTGATATGATTTAAATGAAATTCCTCGTCATTATAAATATCACGAATACACATTTAATAGTTTTTGGTTGCAATTTTCTAATGTCGACTATGTGTAATGTATGCTTTATGCATGTGCGCATTGAAAGAAATGTTTAATAAAGTAAACAAATACATATTAAACTTTTTTTTTGTAAATTTTGATACCCTTTAGATCATAATTGCTCTTTATTTCATAAATTGCGGTTTCATATTTTTAATTTTATAATTTCTGCATGCCATCTTACCAGATTTAAACTGATGATCTATAATCCGGAATTGCCAAAGTCCCGACGAGTCCGGATTAAAGACTTTTGACTGTATGTATACTGACAGTTTATCAACTTTACAGGCACTTTCCTGCCTGGATCAGACAAATGAACTGATATTAGATATAACAGAACTTTATTTTGAACTCCTGGGAGGGCATATAATTAATTTGAACTGGGTAAAAGCACAAACAGCCTTAGTGGAAATGACAGGGTGGACATAATGGCCAAATTGGCTATTACACAAAATGACACAGAAATCCTTGAGATGCATTGGTTAAAGAAAGGGGCCTATACCTACAAATACTTATGAAAAATTATACCTACAAATTATAGAAAGAAAAATGGGAAATGTCTGATATGAATAAATATATGAGACTGGTAACAATTAAAAAAAAGTATAAGCACATAATGATACAGATTTTAATCAAATTTTAACGGGTCATGGCCATTTTCTTGACTGCGACCTTTGTGGTAGCTGCAATAAAACTGGAGATGCTGAACACTTCATAGAGACAAGTCTACTACTTTTGAAAGATATAAGGAAAGATTTTATTATAAATGAAACTTTTACCATGGAATGAATTTTACCAAATTTTGACAAAGCAAGAAGTCCATCAAGAAAGATTATAGCAGTATAGGCAAAGAATAGTGCATGCAAATAACAGTATTTCAGAATGTAACAGCATCACATTCAAGAGCAGTATTTCAGCATGTAAACTGTTCAGTATGTAGTTTAAATATTACCAAAGTTATACATGAAAAGCTAACCTAAGTTATATAAGTAATCTGTAAAAGCTGAGCTATGTTGCATGTAAATTGTTCAGTATTTCAGCAACTTCAGTCAGCAATACCAACAGTATTTCGATATGTAATAACAGCAGGATTGACTGAAATGCTAACCACAGCATAATTTAAAGAAAAAAAAAATAACTCTTAACATAACATATCCAACAAAATCATGAATTATGCTTTAACTACAAAATTCATAAAAATGTTTTCACTCAACTAGGCACAAAAACATCAAAACATCCAAAGCTGAAAATTTTTCTAATGGGAATATTCATCTAAGAACAGCTAACTCATAATATATTTTTTTTAATTAAGTGAATGAAAATAATAGCATCATTAGAGCACAAGTTGTAAAAATTATTTTTGTTTGCTGCAACTTCAATTTTTATGGAATGTAAATGAAAAACACTAAGAAGATATTATTATATTTATTAACGAAAATGATAATAATATTTATGAAATATAGCAAAATATAAGTTAAAGATTGCAATGCTAGGTTAATTTTTTTTTTAACATGCAATTTCAATAGGGGGCCCTGTGGACTGACTGGAAAGACAACTTTTTGCTGTATGAACAATTTGAGTTCTATTCTTGAACGATTCTGCATGTGTTGCTGAGTAAGTATTGTTAAATTATAATTAAACATGATGCATAATAATGTTGTACTAATAATGTGATTTGTTATTTATTTAAAAATGCTATCTAGGGATGGGGTTTTTGCTGTGACAAAAAATAATCTCCAAGGCATATACTTTTTTAAAAAATCCTTTTGTTAGTTCCTACAATAGTAATTTTTCCTGTTGCTGTATTTAAAATACATTTTTTTCTTTAATAAAATAATGTAAAACATATATTCTTTTTGAGGATTGTTTCTTGATGTCCAATTAAAATTTATTTCAATATCACTGATCATAATATAACTTTCATGATTAGAGAGATCATAACAAAATACAGGATAAAGCTTTTCAAATTTTAAAAGATCCATCATACATTTCGTTTCAGAATCAATATCATTCAATCCTACTTTTAAAAGCTATGCATATAATCTATAGTTATTATATTTTTTAGAAAAATCCATTTTATAATTTGTATTATAAAATTGCTTTTCATTAACAATTCAATAACAAAAAGCATATCTAAATTTTCAAATATTCTCTTACTTTGTGCTGCTTTAATTTCTCTTTCAACATATTGAGGAAGAATATATAACCTTACAACATCATCTGAAGTAGATGCTATTTTATATGCACCAGATGAAAATGAAGTTGGAGGTGATTTTAACATTCTGAATTCATTCCATTCTATTTTTATTTCCGTTATCATTTTAAAATTTCCAAATGTAAGCTGTGCTTCATTTTTTAATTTATAATGACTTAACATCAGTTTTAAATCTTCAACAAATACTTTATAATTATTTTTTTTCATTAGTATATATCACATTTTTACTTCTATTTCTCTGCCTTTAAAATCATTACAGCTGCACCATCCAAATATTTTATCCCAAATTAATTCATGTTTATCTACTACAGTTTTAGTTTAATATATATATATATATATGCTGTGCACCAGTTTTTGCCCCTCATAAGACAATTTTCAATAATACCTCAATAACTTCAAATTCGTCAGTACACCTCATACAAAAACATGTTATGCTATATTTGCTGTGTTAATATTCTCATCAAAAACTACCAAGAATGCTAAAAAATCTATGCTTTCTTCTTTTAATGACATCATAAATCATTAAAAATTTTGTTAATATGTTTTCCTACCACACTGGCTGATAAACTAATATTTTTTTAAATAACCAGAACATTATTTGCCAGAACAATGTTCAAAAGACTTATTAAATAATCTTTATGAAATTCGCCATCAGTAAATATCTTTTGATTGTTTTGCAATAATGTGCTTGAAACAAAAACTTGCACGAACAGCTGAGTTACTGAATTTATTTTCTCCTGTACAAAAAAAAAGGGGGTTAGTCTTTTTAAGCCACATTTCAGAAACTAAGTTTTCTTTCATAAATTTGTCTTCCAACTTCCAACATTTCAAATTTTTCTTTATGATTCATTTCATATGAAAATATAATTGCATTCTTTGAAAACTGATATTCCCTTGTAACAAATAAAACATACAATTTACAATTACAAGAGTACATAATTTCCCATTGCCCTTAAAAACAATCCTTTCTTTGCCCACTTTTCTTTTATATAAGACTTGCAGTTTAATATACGAGGGCTATCCAGAAAGTAGATTACGTTTTGGAATAAAAAAATAAAGTATAGGAAACAAATTTTATTATATACAGATGAAAGCCACACTCAAATACTACTTTTCTACATAGTCACCATACAAATTAAGGCATTTATCGTAGCGATGTACGAGCTTGGAAATTCCTTCGTCGAAAAATTCGGCCGCCTGCGCCTTCAACCACTTCGTTACCTCTTCTTGCAGCTGTGCGTCGTCATCAAAACGCTGCATAGCCAGCCACTTCTTCATTGCTGGGAATAGGTGGAAGTCGCTCGGTGCCAGGTCGGGACTGTACGGCGGATGAGGAAACAACTCCCACTTAAAAGATTCAAGAACTTTACGAGTGACAATAGCCGTGTGGGGCCGGGCGTTGTCGTGAATCAACAAGATCTTAGAGCTCAACATTCCTCTGCGCTTGTTTTGAATTGCTCTTCTGAGTTTTTGGAGAGTTTGGCAATACTTTTGAGAGTTTATTGTAGTGCCTCTTTCCAGGAAGTCCACCAAAATTACACCTTTTCTGTCCCAAAAAACAGTCGCCATCATCTTCCTTGCCGACATTGTTTGCATGCATTTCTTGGGTTTTTGGGGAGAACTTGTGTGCCCCCACTGCATTGATTGCAATTTCGTTTCACAGTTCACATGTTTCACCCATGTTTCGTCACCAGTAACGATGCGATTGAGTAAAGAGTCACCATCCTTATGGTAAGCGTCCAAAAAAGTTCAACGCTGCAGCCATTCGCTGATTTTTGTGGTCCTCTGTCAAGATTTTTTGGAATCCATCTTGCCACAAAACTTGTGGTAACCAAGCTTTTCGCTGATGATTTCGTGCAACAAACTTCGCGAAATTTGTGGAATGGAAAACTCAAAGAAAGTTCCGTTATTGTGAAATTTCGATTTTCACAGACTTTAGCATCGACTTTTTCGAGAAGTTCGGCGGTCACTATGCTGGGTCTCCCACTTCGATCTTCGTCGTGAACATTGGTTCGGCCATTTTGAAATCTTATGACCCACTGACGCACTCCACCTTCAGTGATAATGTTGTCCCCATACACTTCACGAAGCTGCCGATAGATTTCTATCAGTTTACAGTTTTTTGCAGTCAGAAACCTTATTACTGAGCGCAGCTCGCGGGATTTTCAATTAACGCAGACATTTCAAACCGTCACAGTATCTGAACGGAGCACAGCATGAACCTCTCACTAGCACGGCTAGATGCAGACTGAGCTGCGCAACGCTCTGACCCCAAGATGGCCGCGCTAGCCCCGCCCCTAGCGGACACAGACGGAAACGTAATCTACTTCCTGGATGGCCCTCGTATATACTTAAAGTCAGTATTATAATTTTATTTACAAAATTAATTCTACAAGATAAAGTTTCACATGAATGCAATGCTTAAAAAGTTATGCACAGTTGTAAACAATAGATATCGATATAATGCATACCTAACAGCAAGCATAAATACCCACATTTCATACACCACAAAATTGCTTTTGAGTCTAGATGTGAGCAGTGAACCACTAGTTTGAGAAGATTGGTCTACATCAGGCCCATGAATTCATCAGAGCCAAGAAAATGTTTGTGCCCATGACTGGAGAAGGCATAAGGCATCTTTATAGGTGAGATAAGGAATTTATCCAGCTCCATACAAATTCTGATGGAGAATATCCCAGGGGCATGGATCAAAGGTTCTAAGCCCCTTTTTTTGCCTACTACCTAAATCTCAAGGGAGCTTTTAGCTTGTTAGCTTGACAGTATTTTAAATGCCTACATGTCACAAAGATACTCAACACTTACAAACATGCATGCCTTCAGAATACAAATGCACGCTCCCCAGCCATGCACACAAGATGATACAACTGCTTTTTTTTTTTTTCTATTAAATTCTGAAATTTCCAAATTAAATTTTAAAACTCCAATTAGACACAATCATTTATCTAATATTCTAGCTAATTAAGCAGCAAACAAGAATAATATTACAGAAAATGATTATAAATTAGACACAGAAGAAGTGGCAACAACCAGTGGAAGCAGAGGAGAAAAGGTACACATCTTTGCTTTGACTATCCCTTGCTAATGAATTTTATAATTGAATATATATAATATATATTTTCTTAAGTGATTTTCTAAAAAATAAGTTTCAAAACTGACTTCCTCAAAAATAAGTTTTCAAAGCTTTAGTGGCAATGTTTCTTGAAGTTTCTGGATATACTTATCCTTTTTCTAGCAACACTATAAATAAGGGACAATTAATCAATCAATTATCAATTTATTTAAGAGTCATATGCCTATTTGCTCTTAAGTTTCACATTCAATGATTACTGCTTTAGATTTTGTTCTGCAACTAATTTGGTGATCTCAGATACTCTTCACGTGTTATTAAGAATTTCACCTTTTCCTCCACTTTTCTCTTTAAACTATTTACAACTGTTTAATTCCCTGTAAACTTGCTGTTATTCTCCATAAAGTTTTAAGTTTTCTAGTCTTCTAGCTCAATTATTTAATAAAATTTCTAGAACTCATAGCATGCAAAACTACATTGTTTTATACTTGTATACCATTATCTACTTCCAAAGCTTTCTAGAATTTTAGCTGTAATTATGTTCTACATATGATTTCTATTTATATAGACAATGTACTTATACATATTACTCTTACTTTTAGTATTATTTTAAGTTTCATTTATTACTTGGTAGATCTTTTTGGAAGGCTGAGGAGCTTAGAAAAGAAAAATACTTTCTATATAAATTATTAGCAATAACATCTTAGTTTTATAACATTTTCTTTTATGAAAAGCTCCAGGAGAATGCTCTACTTTCAAAAGTTCACAAAACGATGAACAAAAACTATTTTTAATAAAATGTTAATATTAATCTACATAAAAATACAATAAAAAAGTAAATTACCTTTCCTGCTACATAAACCATTTTAGTATCATGGTCATAAAATGGAAATAAAACACCAGAAGAAGAATCAATATTTTCAATCCTTAAAGGAGCATCAAGATTGTGCTATTAAGAAATATATAATTAGTACATGGAAGAGAAAATGCAATAACAAATCAAAGTATTAAAAAAATAAATAAACTGACAGTACAATTAAACTTCTTATAGGTAACACTATATTTTATCTTTCTTCTATATAAAGTACAAATACATTTTTGCTTGTAATTATTATTTTAATTTTATATTATCTTTCAAGACACTTTGACACTTATGGCACAGAGATACTTCAGCATTTCTTTTGGTGCCACATCAAACTTATAGTTTAGATCAGGGATAGGCAAACTACGGCCCGCTGGAAAGTTCTATCCGGCCCACGGATAGAATTTTAATTTGCCCGTTCATGGCAAATTAAAAGAAATATATATTTATATATTATATATCCATCTCCTTTCTACTTTGTTTAAATATTATTTTTTCTTCCCTTTTTTCAAAGGCCTGATGATCATTTTAATTTCTCTATTTTTGCTCTACAAAACATAAATTGACGGAAACAGCAAGCACAGACAGCTTTCAATCGGTAAAGTGTTAACAGCAGAAGTTCTTTGTTAGTTATAGCTGTAGATTGGTGCCAAGCATTATCTCTTTCTCGGGAAAAAGACATATGGGAATCCAATTATAGGTGAATTAGACCTCTTAGAAAAAACTTAACTTAAAACTCATTAAAATTTAATCTGTTTGCTGACAGCTAGCTAGTCTTAATTTCCGAGGTTAAATTCAATACCCTCAGTAAATGAAGAGAAGCTTAAGAATTATGAAGATGGCTTGAAAAATCTACATTTTGAGTTCGAATGAAGATTTCAGTCCCATTCAAATAGAATTGGATATTCTTACCATGCCTTTCAACGTAAATTGTAAAGTAGTGAGGTCAGATATGCAGCTTGAATTAATTGAGTTGCAATCTAACAATCATCTCAAGCAGTTGTTTCTAAATATGCCAAAGTTCGAGTTTTACAAATCATTATCAAAATTAAGTTTCCCAAATTTAATATCTCATGCTCAGAAAATAAGTGCTATGTTTGTTTCATCTTAGGTGTGTAAACAAGTGTTTTAAACCATAAATCTTAGAAAGAATTATTTCAGAAGTAGACCGACAGATGAGCATTTTTAGCCTCATTCTTTAGAATCAGAACATCTCACTTCAAAGCTCAACATAAGGAACTTTTAAAAATGAAATCGTAATTTCATTTATCTCATTAACGTAGTTAAATTGCAATACTTGTATATTGTTTTTAAAATTTTGGAAAAATTTATCTTGTCCCGCCAAACTTTATATAAACAGTATGTTTTTGAAATGCTTGTTTTATTAGTAACTTTACAAAATATATTAGCCTGTTTTTAATGCATGTATATTGAAATTAAATTGAAAAATATTTCCTTAATTATCAAAATCTTGAATCCTTTTTTACCTGAATAACAATGTTTCAAAATGTTTTCAATTAAAAAATTACGTGCAAATACTTTAACAAAATTTATACCTGTGACCACACAGCCCACTGTCTGTCACTAAAACGAGAGAAACCAGTGGTAAAGATACGTCCTGTATCTCCTAAGAAAACTGCTTTTGATGCTTTTGACCCTTGATGACATATTCCTTCCTTTAATTAAAAGAGAAAACACATTTAAGACCTGTTTCATTAACAAAAAAACAAAGAGAGAGACCAGAAATTCAACACAATGCTGAACACAATACCGATACAGTAGAATAGGAAACGATAACAAATACTTGACATCCACTCTTCTTTTTTTTTTTTTTTTTTTTAAATGGAAATAAACAAAATATTGGTTTCTAAACAATTCAATACCTTAAATTTAACAACAATTTCTTCCCCTTATATAAACACACAAATATATTTCTTAACAAAAATATACTATATTATAGCATATTTTGATTCAAAAAATTAATTTATTTCAGACTGAATCATTGTACATATTGATTACAATTCTATGAAAATTTTATGAAGCTTAATGTCTTAAAACATATATATATAAAGGTAGCAGAAACTTAATTTTATCAAAAATACATAAATCTTAAATGAAGATCACTTGTAATATATTTACAGCTGAAACTTTTCAGATCTTCACTTTAGAAAATAAATTACAATATTAATCAAAACAATTTTTTAATTACTTGTAAAATACTTCCACTTCTAGCATCAATCACACGGAGTTTTTTATCTTTACAAGTGGTTGCGATCAAGCTTCCGTCTCGATTAAAAGACAGAGAATGTATTGTATCAGGATGGCATATAATACTATTTACAAGAGAACCTTCTCCTATATTCCATACTAAAATCTAAAAAGAAAATACAATACCATAAAACACTATAAAATTCTAAAACCACAGAACATATAAGAATAATCTATATATACAATACAAAGTCCGTAATCTGGACGTCCATTATCCTGAATGAGCTATAATCCGGACCTCAAAGCCACAAACTGAATGAGCATACATTACACGCATATGCTTTACACATGCACAAGTTTAAAGAAAATGTTTAATGAAATAAACAAATATTAAGTTTTTTTTTTTTTTTTTTTTTTTTTTTTTTTTTTTGTAAATTTGATACCCTTTAGATCATAATTGCTTTTTATTTCATAAATTACGGTTTCATATTTTTAATAGTATAATTTCTACATGCCATCTTACCAGATTTAAATTGATGACCTATAATCTGGAAAAAACCCTAATCCGAAGTTCCGACGAGTCCAGATTACGGACTTTGTACTGTATACATATAATAATTAAGTAAATAATGTAGAGATAATAAAAATAATTAAATCAATAAAGGTAGCAAACTTATTAACAGAAAGAAAATTTAATACAAATCAAAACTGAAACAAAAAGTATATAGATACAGCCTGAGTAAAAACTTTAAGGGCAGTAAAAATTTTTGAGAAAATGAAAATGTAATGAAAATGAATGTAAAATGAAATAAAAGGGATTCAAATAATATTAATTATTAAAGTTCATTGATAAGAAATAAATGCTATAAACATAATTTGTAAATACATAATTATGAGAAACATGTGGTTATTTACAAAGCTAGTATTTCTGGCTGAGTAAAAACTTTAAGGCCACCAGTCATTTTTTAAAAATAAATGTAATATAATCGTGTAATTACCATTGCAACTACTAGCTTGTGACAACGCTGCAATTTTCATATTTGTCATACATTTCTTCGAAGTATTAATGATCTTTGTGAAGATGGCGAAGGGTAAGAAGTTAACTGATCGTGAAAGAAGAGAGATCGAAGCTTTGTCTTTAACAGGAATGAGTAGTCGTGCTATTGCGATAATGATAGGAAGATCAAAGACTGTAGTCAACAAATTTTTTTAAAATTGAATTACAATTATGGTAAAAAGAATACTCGGGGAAGACCTAAAGCTTTGTCCTCGCGTGATGAAAGAAGAGTTTGCCAACTTGTATCTACTGGAAAGTACTCAACCAGGAAACTGATTCCGACGACAGGTTTAAAAGTTTGTCAAAAAACGATTTTATAACACAATTAGAAGGTCTGGAAGGTTCACTTATACAGCAAAATTGACTAAGCCTCAGTTACTGCAGAGACACAAAAAATAGAGCATTTTGAACTTTGGCCAGAAAGTCATGACCTGGGACAACCAACGGATAGAAATTATTTTTTCTGATGAAAAAAAAAATGGAATTTGGATGGACCAGATGGCTGGAATTTCTACTGGCATGATATAAGAAATGAAAAAGAAATATTCTCCAAGCGCCAATTAGGTGGAGGGTCTGTCATGACTTGGGGCTGTTTTGCTTACAGTGGTGTGGGCTCAATTGCATTCGTTTCAGTTAGAATGAATTCACAAGGATATCAAAATGTCCTAACAAATCATCTTTTGTCAAATGCTGAATGTCTTGCTGGAGAAAATTGGAAATATAAGCAAGACAATGCATCCTTCCATTCGAGTAACAGTACAAAAAATTGGTTCCAAGTCAACAATGTTGAAACTGTGAAATGGCAGCTAGATCACCTGACCTCAACCCAATCGAGAACCTTTGGGGTGACTTAGCAAGAAGAGTTTATGCAAATGGGAGACATTTTACATCAACAACAGAGCTGAAATCTACTATCGAAGATGAATGGTATAAAACCGACCCCACCCTTTGTCAAAACTCATTTCATCCATGAAAACAAGAATATTTGAAGTAATTCGAAGAAATGGGCTCCTACACAACCGTCTAAGAATTTGTAATTTTTTTACTTATATGCTATTTTCTATGTTGGCCTTAAAGTTTTTACTCAGGCTCAAATATTCATCTGTGTGTTCTGTAATATTTTCTAATAATAAAATATTTGCAAATTAATTTTTCTACTTTTCTTACTTTTATTTAAGCTTAATAATTATCAAGCAAATGGTATTTTAATTCCTCAGTTTAAATGTTTCCATTTTCTCAAAAATTTTTACTGGCCTTAAAGATTTTACTCAGGCTTTATATAGAAGAAGAGTCATGAAACCATTAGTGTATATACAGACACTGAACTTATGTATTTGACCAACAAATGCAAACACTGTATAATGTACCAGCTGATGAAGGTAAACAAGTGGTTGACAATGATTCAACCGAGAGCTGAATAGTATACAGTTGAAGAGAATGCAAGTAGCTCACATGTTGTTCCACCATCATTCAATAATTATGACTAGAGTGGGTCTGTGAACATTCTACACAGGCATGCAACAATGAAAAACATTTTTGCTGGATAAATCATGATTTCTTTTATATCACATTAATGGTTGCATCATGGCATGCTATACTGCACATGAACACTTGATCAGTGCATATACCACAGAACACCAGCAGGCCAATTTGGAATACTATTTTATGAAGGGCATTTTCATAAGCCCAGTCGATTTTTAAGTCAGATTTAAAGGAATTAAATCATTTTTTAACTAAAAAATATTTTTACACCTATATAAATACAATTAATCACCAAAATTTCACCTAGTTTATACTTTTAGTTTTATAAATGAAGTTTAAAACAGAATAATTGTAAAACTGAGATGGCGGGAAAGAAAAACCCACTGATATAATTTTTCTTGCAACTGACAGTAATTTTAGATGGCATCAAATCATAATTTATTCAACTTTATTACTTGTTTATTATTAAATTTTTTTTATCTACATGTGTTTCTGTATCAATCATGTTAAAATATTTCTTCTAAAATTACTGTATTTTAAATATAAATATTTTTTTAAAGCCCCATATGTCAGTGCTTAAAAAAAATAAAACCAAATTATACCAGTTCTTGACCCTATCAAACAGAATGAGCTGAAAAATACGGTGTGAATGAAAAGAATAAAATGACTGTGTGCATAATTTGTAACAAAAAAAGTAACATGCATACAATGTAAAAAGGCATTTTGAAAAGTATTCAAAAATCAGCTTGTCAAACAGATGAAGAAAGGAAAGAATATTTTTTACAAAAGGAAAAAAAGAATAATTCACAAACCAATATTTTAAAGAATTTTGTATTCCAGTGCAACAAACACTTTTAGAATGTAGTACTATTTTATTTGCAAATTTTAAAGAAAAATATTTGATAATAAAGCATATAAATAAGCTACGAACAAGTCACAATACAAAGATCAAGTAATAAAATAAGAAAGAAATATTTCTTCACAAATACATAAAAATTTAAAGCATGCACAAATTACATTTCCAAAATAAAATACCTATGTATCTTTACAAGAATTCATTTAAGATATGAATTTTTTTTTTTTTTTTTATAAAATATCACAACTTTCTCAAAAACTGTAGAACATCAGTTTTCATAAAGAACGGTGGAAAGCTTAAGTGAATAAATAAAAATAAATTATTTTTCATGCACAGGGGAAAAATGCATTAATGAATATATTACAGCATGCACATATACAATAAAAATTTTACTTATTTGAATCAAAAATCATTTTTTAACTGGCTTTATTTCTTTCTGTACTTTTTAACATTAGAATTTGATTTAATGTTCTTTTAATATTATAAAAAAAAACAATTCTACACCAAATACTTAATATATAGTGTTAAATAGATATTATTTTATCAATTATAATGATATCAATTATATTTTAATCAATTATATTATCAATTATATTTTAATTTGTGTCAGTTAAACACCATATTAAAAAAAGAAATAAATAATTAGATTTTAAAGAAATGCATTTATTGCATTTCTTTAAAATCTAATTATTTATTTTTTATATAATTATTTACTTTTTATAATATCATTTCGCAAAGCAATAGGATGTCAAAGTGTATTATAATGAATAAAAAATTTTAGACATTTTAAGGAGATTTTTAACTTCAATATATGAATAAAAATTTGAGAGAAAATGAGTAACAGGAACATAATAATATTTAAAGAAATTTAAATTTTAAACTTTACTATAGGTTGATACAAAAGCTCTGTTTTTACCATATAGTCAAATCCAACACTGAATAATATATTTTCAGCTGTAGGATGCCAAACAATATAGCCAACTCTTCGCTTATGACCAGTCAACTCTAAAACAGGCTGGTTCATATTTGCTTTCTTAAGACCACCATCTGGTATGTACCAAACTTTAATCTGTAATATACATTTTGAAATAGAAAATAAATTCTTCAAAAGCATTTAAAGACATCCGAGTACTAAAAAAATATGTTCAAATTTTATTTTTAAGAAAGATTAAATATAAAAATACCAAATCTAAGTTTGAAAGATAACAAAAATAATAGCAGTAGTAAATATTAATTAATACATTTTATTAATTTTTCAAGAAACTGGCACTTTTTAAAATAAGGCAAGAAAAAAGCTTTAGGTTGGCATAAATTTTGAATAAACTCTGTCAATTTTGAAAGTGACTAGACATAAGTCCCTCTTCTTACACAGAAAATTTTTTTGCAAAGTTTCTCCCACTTATAAAATTTTTCTCTGAAGTCTTTATAAAAATGTAGTTTCTTTAATTAATAACGTTAAATCTAAATGACCAATTCTTTCAAAATTTTAACATTTTAGCTCTGGCATGTTTCATTAATATCTTTCTCAATTGATGGCACTACATTTGTTTTGTCTTTTGTTTTCTCTTTTCTCTTTAGTTGGTAGATTAGGCTTTTCATATGGCCCCTCAGGAAAAAGTCCAAACACTGGAGATCTGGTGACCTTGATGGCCAAGCTATGGGATAACTTCGACCAATCCATCGCTCTGAAAATTTCATAGTTCATATCAACAAAAACCCTCTCAGCAAATCCATGGCAGAAAATGTCATTAGGTGCGAGGACTGACCCTTTTTATACAATTTATTTACGATGCCATCTAGCAGCTCACCGTTTGCATTCCAAACATACATTCTATGACGAATATTGCTCATATAGCTGTCTTCTATCACCCCCTAAAGTTTTGCCCACCTGTTCAGATTCACTCTGGATAGATGAAAAATGGCAAAAGCGAGAAACGAATCTCCTAGGCAAAGCAAAAATGTAAAAATATAAATCCTTCATTCCAGATGTTATGAAAATTAAAAAGCTGTTAATGCATAATTTTTTGTTCAGTCTCTTAACCCTTTGCGGCACAGTCTGGGCACACCTAAAACTTTTTCTCTGTACACACAGAAAAATTGAATGAGAAAGGATTTATAGGTTACTATAGGTTACTCTGAACCTTTTTACTTCCTAGTACGAAGTAAAAAGGAAGTATTGTAATCGCGAAAAGTTCCAGGCAGCATATTTCAACAAAAATATCCATTTTTACCGCTATCGAATGCAATTTAACGATGTTTTTGTGTGATATCTGTACGTAACGACAGAATAAAAGACACGTTTCCTCAAAAAAAAATTATAAAACTGCTTTAAAATTAATTTTGAAGAGAATTTTTCGTGGCGTCTGTATTAACGTATGTACGTACGTATCTCCATAACTCAAAAACAAGTAGCCTCAGAACGTTGAAATTTTGTATATAGGACGGCTATATAACATGTAGATGTGCACCTCGTATTTTGGTTGCAATCGGCCGACACCAAATGTATATAAATATATTTTAATATATATCCACTCTGTAACCCGGCTCAGTGATCTCAGTTTCTTTACTCTTATATGTATGTAAATTGTACATTTTTTGCTTTAAAAATGATTGAATTATGTTGTTTTTATCTTCCGGTTAAGGTTTTTATGCCTTTAGTAAATCTGTATGCAATATTTTTAGAATTATCAACAATTTTAAAGTTGTTTAAGTGCCGCTAAACCTTTTTTTATGGTGGCCATTGATTGTTTACATTTGAAACAACAGACTAGTGGATTTGTTGCCAATCTAGAGAAACTTAGCTTCGCAACAACAAGGATAACGCCTTCATTTATTATTGCCAATTAAATCATGCTTAATCCTTTCTGGAATTTTTTCGAGGAAATAAGTGTTTAAGATTTACTTCGTAATTTTTAATATAGATATTTTGAGTTTTATGTATTTTTGCCTTCTCGCAAAGTGAGAACTGAATTAATTGAATGAGAAATACTCAATCGTCTGTGAAAAACTGTTTCTTTTTTGTTTTGTTTGCTTAATTTCTTTTATACATCATTCTAGCTTTATTATAGTATTTGAATAGAACATGTGGCAACGATTAGATAATTCTATTCTTAAATGATATAAATTTTGTGCATTATGAGTTATAATATGAACAAAATATAATACTGTTAAGTGAATCTAGCGCCAGAGTGTTGCTATGGTAAACAAATACTAGAGTGAATTTTAAAGAATGCATTTATTCTATTGTGGTTTATGCGCTGTCGGCGAAGTAGATTTAATTCAATCCAATAATTTTAAATGAAATGCAAGAAAAATGCGTATAATTTAATATTCCCGTACAAGGAAGTCATGAGGTGTACACATCAGATTTTTTATTTATAGTTGATGGCAGCACAACACAAACCAGTCCATATATTTTAGCCATTTAGTTTTTAAAAACACTCATTTTTCAAAGAAATCTTCCAGATTTTTTTTATGATATAAAAGGAATTATTTGAAAAGAAATTTCTATGTTATTTTCTTGGCTGTATGCTAATGTCCTTACTCTATTTTAGTTTTAAATTTTTACTTTGAAATCTTGCCTAAAATGGAACGATGAACATCAGGTGTTCCCAAAGTGGGCTCACTGAGAAACTAGGTCACTGAGAGGCAACTGTATCTTTATTCCTCTGCAGTTTATCGGTCAGTTCATTCACAATAGAAAGGTGGGTCCACATCTGTATTTCATTTCTTGTTTTTCTCTTTCTTTCCACTTTTTTTTGGGGGGGAAGGGGAGATATGGTTATCAACTAAGAAATTTGTTTTGTCATTTTCTGAAGGTCAAGAATAATTTTATCAGTTAGCTGTTTGATTTTCCACTACAAAAGTTAGTTCTCTTTTTCTCTTTCACTTTTGTTCAAGGAAGTTTTTGTTAGCGCTAAGTTTAATAGTTTTGAGTAGTAGACATTTATTTTATTTTATTTTATAGATTATAATTTCAAATTGTAGATATAATATTAGTTTATTTTTTCGGATTTTTAATTATTTTTCAAATGGATCGGAGAGAGCTGACCATTTCTGAAGCATTGAAAATGCTACGAATTGCTTTTAGATAGTGAGTCTGATACAGATCCCGGTACATGTGCAAAATATCCAATATTGGGTTGTGCTTTTTTAAAGGTGGTGACACTTTCTTTTAAGAGTACCACCAAGAAAAAAGTAGACGAAAGTGTACATATGAAATGTAAATAATGTAAATATCATATACTTTTTTTTCCATTCATACGCATGCGCATGTAATCATCATATAACCAAAAGAGCTTTTTTAAGGGGGTGTAGCAGGCCTCCCCATGGCACACCCTGGATAATGCTAAATCTGCTACAGTATTCAGAATGTAGTGTTTTTTAATCGTAAGCAAAATCTCTTACTCTTTTACACACTTCCCAGCAATGCTTGTTTCATCACTGTTTTCTAAGCTCTATTCATTCAGTGTGCCTGCTTCGGGCACACCCACAAAATTAAAACAATAAGTGCTATTTTCACAAAATTTTACCTGTATACTCCTCTAAACCTCATTAAACTGCCTCCTTTCCCCCCCTTTAATTTCAACTTTAAAATGTAGCGTGCCGGAAAGCGTTAAAAGTATCAATAAAAGTTCGTCACAGACGAAGATCAGCAAAGCCGTGCCCATTTAAAGAAGCAAAAATAAACATAATGAATAAGTTAACCTAATTAAACTCGCAAAGAGGCATAAGCAAAAGTAAAGTCATGAAACTATACATATCCGCAAATAACTTCAAATAATCCAAAGGAAGTTTTCAACTGAATCAGACTGAATTTTGTTAATTGAGTCAAAAGCGAAATTAGAAAACATTAAGGAAATAAATAACAGCAGAAAAACTTCTACATAGACTATTGCAACATCGATGAAAATTTAAATATATATAAAGGTTTAAAAAATATGGAAGGGCTGGATTCATCATCTGATAATGCAGAGATGAAAACTAAATAACTTCATTCAATGCTTAATATAAATAATGCTTCATTAAAAATGGTTGCATATCAGTGCATAATGAAAATGAAACTTTCCATTACGTAAAACTTCTTGACACTCCATCATCAATATTCACAGGAAATTATGAAGACTTAAGTAACTTTGAACAACAATTTACTTCTTTAATGGTGATAAATAATAAAGTTGATGGTTTACAAAAGCTTTGTTTAAAGGCCGCTCTCTAAAAGAAGATATCAAACAAATAGCAACAGATCAAGAGAGTCACACTTCTCTTCTTAAAGCTCTTGAAATTCATTAATCTCACATACAAAATATATTAAATCATGAAAAAGTTAATAATGAATCATACAGGGAATTACTCCATTTACTAAATAACATAAAATATAACTTGTCTGCATTAAAAGTATCACAATTTGAAAGAAGTAATTTATCACTGTTGTATTAATGAAAATTTACTTTAAAAAAATTAATAAGAAAACATGTAATAATTCGAGTTGATGTTAAAAATAAAAGTTCCCACCTTAGATGAATTCTTAAGTTTTCTGAAAAGAGAACTTTAGTCTCAGGATGGATAAAAATACTAAGCTTAAACCAGTAATGCACATTAAATACTACTTCAAGCCAAGGGTCTGAGTAACAAGTCCTGTAATCTTGATACACCACATCCCTCCCCCTTTATTACAAGTTCAGTCTGCTTCGGAGTCGTCGATTTTTGGTGGAAGGCTGTGGCACAGCTGAGTCTTTGGTGACCTGGTTGTATCAGCAGCATTTCTGGCGGACGCAGCTTTCAGTAAAATCCTGGGCTTGGATGACAACACAGACTTATTTATCAGGTGGCTATTATCTTTGGATGGTTCTGGGACTCCACTGTCACCAGCTTCTTTGAAAATCGAGAGAGCTGGAGAATGACATACGTGGCCATCATCATTAATGGTTCCTCCATCACGCATCTGGTTGACATGTCACTGCCATAGGTGACCATCTACACTTATAATGTAATGTAGCTGTCCAACCCTGGTTTGGACAGTCCCAAATATCCATTACTTGTCGCCCTGGCAATAATTTCTTCATGCTACTTTATTGCCAATCAAAATTCCATGGTCTGCAAACTTGTAGGTTCCTTCTCAAACTCTCTCTTTCACCCTCCTTTTGAGATCTGGTCTCAATAAATCACTTTTTGAATTTCCCTCTTTAGCATTAGCACTGCAGGCCTCTGTAGAGTAGTTAATTTTGACGCTTTTCTGCATTATATTAGAAATGCACTGAGTTTTTGGTCTCACAGTTCCCAGATAATTTTACACGGTTCTTAAGCATTATTTTGCAGTAAACGCATACCATTCAATACTGGTAATTCGAATAGTGCAAAAAAGTCCCATAAGTATTCTATTGTTTTGGTCGAGCTTGATTTCATTGGGTAGGCTTTTAGCCATTTTGAATGAGCATCGACGATTATCAAAAACATATGCTCAAAAATATGTCTTTTCATTCAAAGGATTTAATTTATGTTTTGCACATTCAAAACAGTTTTTAGAAGTATTTTCAATATCCTTATCTATACCATTCCAAAACACATAAGATCTAGCAACTGCTTTCATCTTTACAGTCCCTAAGTGTCTGTGGTGTAACTCTTTCAAAACATTCTCTCAGTATCGTTTTGGAATACAAACGCATTGTCCATACATTATACAGCCATCTTGGAGCCTGTACTTCATCTCCCTTTCAATTCCCCACCACTTTCAAATATTCATGACAGAGGATTGAGTTCTGCATCAATTTGAGTTTCTTTAGCCAAATCTCTGGCAGTGTATGGGAGAGTTTCTATCTGCTTTAACTGAAAAATACTTACATCATCTAGAATAGAGTTGAGTAGTCATGAAAGAAAGTCAGTATCTGTATTCCCATTTGTTTTGCAGTAAAGAATGTTGAAATGGAATGAATGTAAGGCCAAAGCATAGTGCAAGAGTTTTGTGGCTGCCAAAACTGCTGGTCTTGAGCCGGAAATTTGCAATGTAATTAATGTAAATTTCCTCCTTTTAAGAAGAGCAAATTTCTTTTTGTTCCCCAGATAATTGGCAAGGCTCTTGTCCATATTCATAGTGTGCATAAATGCTTAATGTCTTCATTAAATATTCAAGTTACCAATCAGTTAGACTAGTTTATTATTAACTCCTAGACAATGAATTCATCAGCCCTTTATGAAGTAAGTATCAAGCCTATATATATTAGCTTTTTATTCACTTAATCTCCTTACCTGTTTAAAAAAAATTACATTTTTCTGTAAATTGTATCAAAGTTGAGCTATAAAGTAAATATAAAGGTGAAATTTGAGATTTCACTGCAGGGTTTATGTTATGTTATTAGCTGCACCCACACATGCATGGCCCTCAAGCAGAAATTTGTAGGCAGTAAGACCATTATATAAATAAAAAGTGGCAACAGCAAGATCGAGAATGATTCTCCTAAGTACGGCAAAAATTTTAAAATGCACCTCCTTCACATATTATGAAAATAAAAAACTGCTAAGATGCTTTTTGTGAGTGTGCGTGTGTGTGCATTCTTTATCTACTTTAATTTAAATTTCAGCCCATTAAAGGAATCATTGAAAGTGAAAACCAGTATGTTTGAAAAATGCACTTTTTTTTTAATTGATTCATATAACATTTATGGATATTTCTTAACAAAAAAGAAATTACTTGCTTTACACACTTCATTTAATTTATTTTCCCCCCTTTTTTAAGCTAAATGACTGTTCAGATTATGAATGAATTTTTCTTTTATAATTCCTGATTACTTTATTTTCACAAAAAGGCAGAATCTTTGGTCTCAAATTATGGTCTTCTATTGCAGCGGTTCTCAACCTTTTGACTAATGCATACCATCTAAACTAAAATTTAAAACCTCTAGTACCACCACAATCATTTTACAATGATTAGTTTTCATTTCTGAATAGAAATATTTTTAAAAAAAGTCTGAATGCCTTCAGACTTTATATTATGCCCAAAGGGACTTTTTTAATGTTTTGTGTGTTACCTGTATTTACTAAATATCAAATTCTTCGAACTTAAACTATAAAATTCAATTCAACAACAATATCACAAAATATTTAAAAGAGCATATCTTAAGAATTTCCCGATACACAGTTTCACGCGCTGGAGGTAATTTTTTTTTAACAGTGTTGCCATTGCTCGCTTTGAAATCGTCAAGTTTGTTAATAAAAAATTCATTAAAGTGTTATAAAATATTAAATCAATAGTGAAACAAATTCCAAATTAGAATTTTCAGATGCCTATATTAGGTGGAGGATTACATTATTCAAAATTTGATGTATCTAGGTACCACTGTTTTACCACAATGCGAGAAACATACATACATTTATGCAGATTCTTCATTATTTAATTTCTTTAAATATAACACAGAGCGAAAATTTTTGGTGGCAACAATTTGAAACGTGAAACAGACATTTAAGTTTTCAATGCAAAATGCCAAAACGAAGTCCATCTGGACTAACGCCGTTTGGGCTAAAAAGAAAGAAAGAAAATCTGAATGCTTTCAGATTTTGTATTACATCCAAAAGGGCATTTTTTAACGTTCGGTGGTGTGTTACCTTTATTTATTAAACATCATGTTCTTCGCACTTAAAAGACATAAAATTAAATTCAACAGCAATATCACAAAACATTTAAAAGCAGCATACCCTTAGAATTTCCGATACACTGTCTCGCATGCTGGAGTTTTTTTTCGTACAGTGTTGCCATTGCTCGCTTTGAAATCATAGAGTTCGTTACTCAAAAATTCATTAAAGTTTTACAAAATTTGAAATAAAACAAATTCAAAATTAACACTTCCAAGTGGCCATGTTGAAAGACAATATTGTTAAAACTAAGGAAAGCAGAGCAACAAGAAGACAAAAATACCAAAATAGAACTTGATCAATAAATCTGATTTTTCATATAGCCATTTGCATACATCAAAATGTCAATTCTGCCTTTCTCAATAAACACAGCAAAATCTTACATGCTGGTATTTAATACTAATGCTACACTGTTTGGTATAGTGGTTAAGTAGAACCAACTCCCTTATCACTAAGCCCAAGTTCAAATCCTGTAAGAGGCATGGATGTTTATAAATGTAGAGTATCTTTGTGGGCACATAGGCACTTAAAAATTCATTAAGTTCCCTGAAGAAGTTTCTGGAAGGGTCAGAAAAATGCAAGACCCTTGCATACTGTTTCCCAAGGTACTTTTGATCAAAATTTGAATGTAGGTGAGCAAAGTCACACACTCACTCACACTTTGCCATGATGAATTCATGTACCTGGTCTAGATTTCAATTCCGACCAGGAAGACAAGTAACGACAAACCATAACAACAAATACTATATACAAGAACTAAAAGTGAGAATGCTTACTTCACAAACAACCATTATGGCAAGTGCTAAAAATTTTGCAAATAAATAAATGGTTCCATTAGTCACTGACACAAATATATATTCACTTAGATTTGAATAAATAAAAACCACTTTGAATCCTCTCTAAGTCAGCCACACACAGTTCCAAATAATTTCATTCTTCTGTGAAGGTAGTCATCACAAAATGGTTTAACTGTATTTCCTAATTAATCTTGTAAAATATATAAATGTACAGTGTCATAAACCACATAAACAATACAAATAATGTATATCAGCATAAGCTATATATTTACACAAATTTAAAACCTTAAAATTTAACAAAAGTACTCTCAAACAATTTAACATTTAAACTCACCGTGCAGTCATCAGAACAAGATGCTATAATGTTATCATTGAATGGATTCCACTGCAAATCCAGTATGGGGCCATGATGACCAGTAACTCTTCCAGCAGTCACATCAACCCTCCCAGTCTACACAATAAAAATTTATATTTATAATATCTATAAATTTTTCCTGTAAAATGTTTTAATTCAATCAAAAGAATTATTAACACAGAAAATAATTAAAAGATATACATATTTTAAGCTTCATATTGATAAAATGTTATTTACAAAAGAATATGAGATTTTTTGAAGCCATGTGTATATAAAATAGATCTTCATATTTTTCTCTTTCCCCACCCCTGTTTCCAACTTAGTTAGAAGTAAATAAACAATTCTGGAATTTATAAATGCAGTATCAACAAAAAAGATCCACTTCAATATGAAATCTAAATTAAGTTGTAAATTTCCTTTCAAATAGCTTAAAAGGGGAATTTTAAAATAACAGCAGGTTCCTGAACTCCTAAAACACTGATATTAAAACACATCTTTTTTTCTTTCAAGGCAATTTCAGGAAGAGAGAGAATCTCTACAAATGGAAAGTTCTCTATTTCGTCTATAGGTTTGCTTAACCAGCCATGACCTTTGAACCATTTATTACAATTTGTTAGTTGACAAGGTAAGACACCTCATGTACCTAGATCCGCCGGATTGTCGATTCGTGAAACATGACACCATTTCTCTTGAGGAATCATCGCCTGAATCTTGACACTCGATTTGCGAGAAATGACTGCCAGCGATAAGGTTCAGAAGATAGCCACGCCATTGTTATCGTTGAATCTGTCCTAGCTATGATGCGTTTAACTTGTAAAGAAAAGTCTTTTAAGACTGCATGCAACAAATTTAATAGCAATAGAGCTGAACATAATTCTAAGCATGGCAGAAATTGGGTTTTCAGAAGTGAAACCTTTGTTTTAGAGGTAAATAAAGAAATGGTTGTATCTGAATTTTCCAAAATACATCTCATGTAAATAACGCTGCAGAAAGCCTTTCCAGAAGCATCGCAGAATACATGCATTTTTAGCTCAACACTTTGTGTTTTCAATACACATCTAGGTACTTTTAGTCGTTGGATTAGAGGAAGTATTTTGAGAAAGGATATCCATATCTTTGTCATATCTTGTGGGATGGATTGATCCCAAGCTAAGTTGTTTTTCAACAGTTCCTAAAGAAATGTTTTCATAAATATCATGTAAGGGGATATGAAGCCCAAGGGATCGAAAACACAAGAGACTTCTGACAAATTTTCTCCTTTTGAAAATGTCAATTTGTCTTCGATTGGTGAAATTGCAACATGAAAACAGTCATCTTTTGCATTTCATTTAATACCAAGGACAATAATTTCATCTAAATTAACATACATCAGATCTTTTTCTTCCTCTCTTAATAGTTCTTTAAATATTGATGGAACATTAGAATGCCATTTTTGAAGCTTCAATCCACCTCTCTTCATCATATTCTTTAACTCATTTACTAGCTCTTTCCTTTGATGAAGCTCCACTCAGAAGATCATCAACATAGAAATCGTTAAAGGTAGCCAGTGAAGTTTTTTTTTTTTTTTTTTTTTTTTTTTTGTCTAAAGCCAATTGCTGCTGCATAGCTCTTGTGGACAAGAAATGATGTTGAGGTTATGCCATAGGTGACTGTGAGTAATCTGTATTCTCTAACTGGCTCTTCAGGACTTTCTCACCAAAGAAATATCAATCTGTATCCTCAACAAAATTAAACCTGACTTGTCTAAACATGTTTTCTATATCTGCACTCACTGCAATTTGAAAACTTCTAAAATGAATAAAGATAGTGACTAACTCATCCTGTACTCGTGGGTCTATCATTACAAGATCATTCAGAGATTGTCCAGATGATGTCTTGGAAGAACCATCAAAGACAACTCTCAGCCTTGTTGTAGTGCTCAAATCACGAAGAATAGCAAAATGAGGAAGGTAGTATGCATTTGTTTTCAGACTCAGATTGTGGAATCTGTCCCATGGGTCCTAGTGATAGATATTCACATATAAGGTCTTTATATTGTTAGTATTTTTTATTGTTGAAAGATAAGGAAGTATTTCAATCTGCGGAGGGCAGCTGCCTTGGAATCACCGAGTTGAGAAGGTGAGGTATGGAAGGGCACCCTCATGACATATCTTCCATCAGTTTTTCTAGAATGCGTAGATTTAAAGTGCTCTTCACAAGTTTTCTCATCATGACTCAAGGAGCTTACCGGAGGTACCTTGTTTAGTTCCCAAAATTTATTTAACAATTTATCACTGACTAATTGAATGTTATTTAACCTGAACAATTGAATTTTTCTCACATGAGGGAACCTTGCCTGCAATTAGCCATCCTAACTGAGACCAAACAGCAAAGAGATTTCCGTCTCCCAATAAAAGTGTCTGAGCTTTAAGCATTAGAAGTGCTATATCCACACCAAGAACAATATCAATGCTACAAGTCTTGTAAAAGGTTGGCTATGCTAGGGTAAGATCAATGAAGTGTTTGGAACAAGAAGAATTCAAACTAATGTGAAGCTGACCCACTATTTTCTTGACAACGTAGACAGAAGTACCAAAGAATTTGATGAAAAATGAGGAGTAAACCTAATTTGAGAAACACCATTTGTACAAGTGTTTGATGCACCCAAACATGAAATTATCCCATTTGTTTTCTTTTTTGACAAACTCAATCTTTCTAGGCAATCGCTTGTTATTAATGAAGCTTGTCTGCCTGGATCTAAAAGAGCATGACAAGTAGAAATTCTACCAGTGGAATCTTTATTACCATATTCAAATAAGCTAACCGAACCTAACATGCAGAATCTTATAAGTTTACAGACATGACAAGGATGCACTACATTGGAGTTTTTAATACTACTTTCAAACATCATGTTCAACAACTAGTGGATAATGATTAAAAATTATCTGTAAGAATAAATTTGTCATTCATTCTCCAGTCATGTTAAAAAGTAGACAAAAATTTAGATACCTGAAACTATACCTCAGAACACGTATAAAGCATGATAAAACATATAAAAGTTACTCAAAAAATCAAAGAAAACACACAATCATTATGTATACTCACTCTTTCTACAGGAAGAACAAGAAATGATCCTCCGCCTGCTGTTTCAGTGGCAATGGCTATGAATTTTGGATTGACGGCACAAAAGGAACTATCATGGGCATTTTTTGTGATTTTTATACAATCAAAGCATTTATCTTTTTTTGCAGCACAGCCAAATACATGCCTAAACTTGCTGCTTCTTATCCCTCTAAAGGATGACTACAAATAAATTAATTAATAAATATTACACATTAATAATTAAATATTTTTCAAAAAAAGTGGCATAGATTTAAATGAAATTAAATATTATAATCAGTAAACATTATATGTGTTTCCTTTAATATTTAAATTTCATTACACTGAGTATAATATAAAATTAAATTAATAAAAAATGAAAAAATAATTATGTGGCTAAAATAAAATAAATTATATTATTATTATATATATATAATTATCGGTACCATTCCGTTAGAGTGGTATCAGTTAAAAATAAAGACAAAATTAAAAGAAAGCATTGCTACAACAACACACCAAATATTGTGGCTCGAGAATTTTAACATCTGAAATATCGTGGCTCGAGATTTCTAGTTTTCGCTTGAAATATCATTATTTTTTTACATATTTCGCCATTTTTTAGTATGATGGATTACACAATTTGGCAATCATCTAATGACGAAAAGGCTGTCATAAGATTCTTTCAAGATAAAGGAATAATTCATAGCAATAGACTTTGTTCTCAAAATCCTCCGATGAGGTTAACTTTTGTATCAAACAAAGCTCCTATATGGTGCTGTTACGCACATTCTTGCTGTGGAAAAAAAAGGTTTGAAAACCAAAACATGGTTTGAAGATTTGTGTCTGAATTTTCTTAATGCCGTTCGTTTTACCTATCTATAGTATTAAGAACATCAATTGAATTTTGCTAACTTCAGTTAGAAATCACCATAATACGACAATAGATTGGAATAGCTACTTTAAATTTTTTTTACAAAAAGAAAACATAGCATTGGACGTGTTCTTCCCCGAACAATGGGTATTCAGGGGTTTATGCCGGGAAAGCAACGCAAATGGCACCATTGTATTTTCAGATAGCTGGAAATTATATAAAAAAGAAGAATTAAGAAATGCTGGGTATGAACTTTTCACTGTGAATCACAGTTATAATTTTATAGATGCTGAAACTGGATGCCATACCCAAACTGAGGAGTGATTGTAGGGTAGTGCTAAGTGAAGAAATAAGCATCTGTAATATTGAATGATATTTGTAATTTTATGCCAACTGTTTAGATTCAATTTCGTTTTGTTTTGTTATTTATGTGTAGAATATTACAGATTAAAGAATTAAAAAGAAAAATTTACTATCTTTAAGAAATTTTTTTTAATAAATTACTTTTTACAAAACTAATTTCTTTTGAACTCTATTATTATTTCATAATTTTAAACTCGGTAACAATTGGTGGTACAAAAAGCAGTGCATTTTAACTAACGCTGCTCTAACAAAATAGTATATAATTATCTTAAATAAATTATACTTTTATTTCATTTTTCATGCATTCTTATCATATTAAAAATAAGTTGCATTACTGCTGTTATAAAGAATTTTTCACCAGCAGGTTAGCATTAAATCTTCACATCAACATTAAATCTTCATAAAGGTATGACTTATAAAAAAAAAAAAAAAGAAAAGAAATTGTAGAAAGTTTACCCATAATTTCAAAATTTACTCTCCAGAAGTAAATAAAAAATGCAAAACACATAAAACCAGTATGTTACTTTCGAATGTATTTGAAAGCTACCGCTAATTATTTTGTATTCAGGTTCAGCTACTGAAGTTTAGAGGCTACTTCGAAAGAATATCACAATGGTATTAATTGAAAATATATTTAGGGGGGAGGAATGTTTAACTTTCAAGGTGCCACTGAACTGAATTAAAATAGAATTAACAGGAATAAACATCACACTTATACATAAATACGATAGATGATTCAAGTTTTAAAAAAATGGGAGCTCTGATTATTAAAATTAATTACTAATAATTCATAACAGAAATAAAAATTTTCCTGTGCAACATTTGAGATTCAGACTAATTTTGACAAACTGCTTTTAAAAAAAAAAAAAATAAATAAAAAATAGAGAGAGAGACGTAGGTACACATTTATTTCAATAAAAAAAAAAAAATTCATACGCATTCAACGATTAATTTAGCCAAAATATTAAATACTATAAAATAAATCTGCATTTTTTTTTCCAAATAAAATTTGAATAAATACTTTGATTATTTTAGTAAAATATATCACAAATCATACATATTTAAATATAAAACATAAATCCATTAATGCCAGTTTTTAATAGTTTTTTAATTCCTAAAATTTTAGAAAATATATCTACAAAAAATGTAAGAGAGACATTGCATTTACAATGAAAAAAACCACATCCTAGACACCAATAAACATGATGATATTTATTCTGATGGTAAAAATGTATCCCTATAGATAATGTAAAAGCAGACATTATTTCTTAACAACAAAATAACAATTATTACCTCCATAGTCTTCATTTAGTCAGAATGCAATTCTAAAAATTACACCCAAAGAGCTAAGGTAAGAAAGTATAAAAAAATCAGAACAGAAATAAACAAAATAAATATTTCAACATAAATAATAAGAAAAAAATGAATAAAATATATATAAAGAGAGAAGTGGACTGGCTCTAGGCAATAGCGGCATGGGCTGAGCGTGCTGAATTATGAAGGAGGATGCTAATTAGATTTTTCTTATAAATGATAACATCTAGGAAGAGCGACAGTGTATTGTGGCATTAAGCACTTACAGAATCAACATCCAGACTAATTCCTTTATACATCACATATGGTTCCATTTATATATCCGGTTTTAATGAAAGTTTTCTCCCACTACAAATATTGTATGTACAAACAGTTCGCATTGGCGTGCTTAATCATATTTTGGGCATTTGAAAGAAAGAGACTTGCCTTAGAACATAGTGTTCTGAAATTTGTAAAAAAAATTATCGCTATCGTTAACTACAATGTGTCTGAAATGGAACTATCATGCTACCAGATTAGAATCATCATTTACTTCCAGTTCTGTTGCAAAAAGTCAGCTACAAAATGTCACCAAATGTGTAAAACTTTAGGCACTAATGTTGTATCATATAAAGATGATGACATTAAAAAAGCAGAGCTCTTTGGCCGGCCTTCTGATGTTGATGAGGCCTGCCTGCGAGAACTTGTGGAAGATGATCAGTATGCAACTACTCGAGAGCTTTCTTCAAGGAGTTAGATGTTAAGGCCAGTCGCACTATGCATCGCATAAACTTGATGTACAAGTTCAGTAGCTAGATGCTGTGCGAGTTGACTCAAGCAGATAAGGACAGATGTGTTTGGGCCTGCACTAATCTTCTCGAATATCAATGCAAGAACAAAATGCTAGACTGGATCGTCACTTGTGATGAAAAGTGGATTTACTTCAACAACACAGGCTAAAAAGGTGGTTGGTATGCACCTGACGAGCCCATCGTAAGCGTCACAAAGCATAATTTGACCAACAAAAAGATCGTGCTTTGTATCTGGTGGTATTGCATGGTATTATCCACAAGGAGTGTCTGGAAAAGGTGAAACATTTGACAGGAAGGTGTACAATGAGATGCTAGTCTGTGTTGATGCTGCTATCAAGGAAAAACAGTAAACTGAGTTTTGGCAGAAAACGGTAAAATTCCATCAAGATAATGCAAGACTGCATTCATTGTCTGGACTTGAATGGGATCTTTTGCCACACCCACCATATAGTCCCACCATCGCTCCTTCAGACTTCTAACATTATTAAGAACGTTTTTTTTTTTTTTTTTTTTTTAAACTTTGGTTACAACCAGGTATATTGATTAGAGAATGCTAAAACTACTTTTACAAATGGAATCGTTTCTCACATTTTTATAATTTTATCAGTCCAAGTTCAGTTTGTCATTGGGCTTGCTGTTTTCTGGGAAATAGTCCTCTTCTTCCCCCACCCAAAAAATCAGTTTTTATCCCAAAAAAGCTGCAGTAGATCCATAAAAAGTTTCAAATATTTCACCAATCCATCTAAGCACTTCCTTTACTGAAGCAATATCTTAAACTATTCAGAACACTGAGTATATGCTAATCATTCCTTCTCAATTGTGAAAAACTAGACAGAATCTCATTGGTAGAAAACTGCAATTTGAAATATGTAACACCTATTTGGGGCTTTAATCCTGATGGTATGTTCCGTAAGATTTTTTTGTCATTTGGTATCCGACTTAAATTTTAAATTTATATTAGCTTTATACGAATAGAGAATATTTGTTAAATTCAAATTTATAGTTTATAATATTTTACTTTCTTATTTTCTTTAATAATATAAATATCATCTCAATGAATGGGAATTTATGAAAACAAAGATTAAAATAAGCAGTTCTACAAATTTACCTAATAAAGGCTCTTTAAATATAGGTCTTCACTCAGAGGATTAACTAAATTCAAATTACCACTCACTCAGAGGACTAACTAAACTCAAATTGTCACTTAGAAGTAAAAATCAAATGTTAGTTAGATTCGGTGGGTAAGTTACCACTAATAAAATAAACTAAACTCTTAAAACAAAGATATGGTACAGATATATGTCAACTTCAAATTTATTCTACCTCACTACTTGTGAGGGTTAAATTAAAGTGATACTACACAAAAGTACCTGTCACCTGTATCTGGGTGAAAACACAAACTTCTTTAAAACTGTTCTAATTGAGATTCACATAAGACAGCAATAATGATTCAGAGTTCTAGCTTAGCAAACAAATTCTATCTTTGTGATTTTTCATTCTAACTGAAGACCAGCAATGAATTCGCCATCAGAGAGAAATTCCACAGCAAGCAGCATTAGCGTGAATATCAAAACTCTTGTATGTGGCTATGTACTATTTTTCTTACTTTACAGTACAATTGCTTGCCACTCAAATCTACATAAATTCTGGAATATGGCGAAATAAGGTAACAGGTAAGATATAAATGAAATAAAATTTGTTCATGAAACTCAAACATCATACCACAATATTTAACATAAACAGCTACAAAGGATATATCAAGCTGACATTAAAACTGAAGGGCAATGACCACAGATTAGTGCAGCTTACAGGATCTCATTTCTGGTGTGTCAAAAAAAAAAAAAAAAAAAAAAAAAAGACACCAAAATTCATAAACATAGTTTACAAAATACTCATCCTAATGTACAGTTTGTCCTGCAGTTTTTCTCTTCTTTTATAACATATATAGTTCCGACATCAGTAACTGCAGCAAAGAGTAGTGTTTCTAAACTGCAATATATAAAATTCAGGTAATGTTTAACACTAGAATTATGGGAACAGTCATTTTGACCATATCACCATTTTGATTGGACATAACTTTTTTAATTCTTTATTTATAACTTTGGTGTTTTTTTAATTCTCTAAAAACTTACGAATATTACATGATATTATTTTGTTCATTTTTAAATAATTATTTTTGACAATATTGTTTATACCTAGAATTATGGTTATCGGTCATTTTGACCGTATCCCGAAAATTATAATTTCTCAATATTTTTATGATGTTTTTAGCTATCTCCAGTTTGCTGATAGATAAAAAAGTGTATTTCTGGTAAGGAAGACTGCATATTTCACAGATGTCGGAAGGAAGGGGAGGGGAGGGGGAAATGGCTCGCTACCGATGTGCAGTCAAAATACTTACTGAACGGATTTCCCAATTTGGGAAAAGATGAAACAAGACCAGCTGGAGAAACAGTAGGTGAATATGCAGCTTTTTGCTTGATGGAACCACTGAAATTAGTAAAGAAATGAGGAATTTGGGGATAAGCTGCATTGGCACAATAAATGGGTCAAAAAGAGAAGTACCTTACTTTTTCAAAAATACCAGGGATGAACTCTTTTCTAGTAAGATTGCTAAGCATGACAATACAGTCAAAAGTTGTTAATCCGGACTCGTCGGGACTTCAGCGGTTCCGGATTTTTTATTTTTCTGGATTATAGATCATCAGTTTAAATCTGGTAAGATGGCATGCAGAAATTATAAAATTAAAAATATGAAACCGTAATTTATGAAATAAAGAACAATTACAATCTAAAGGGTACCAAAATTTACAAAAAAAAAGCTTAATATGTATTTGTTTACTTTATTAAACATTTCTTTCAATGTAAGTTGTTTAAGTTGCTTCGTTTTATGTGATAACTTTCTCTTTAATTCTATAAACATACATAATTTCTTGTTCGTTACCAAGTTCCGCTGTTCAAGTCCTATAATTGCTGTGTCGAGAAGACCGATAATGTCAATCGAAATTTTTTCGTTTTCAACAACCTCTATGTCACTTTCTTCACTATCGGAAGTGAATTATAATGACGAGAAATTTGATTTAAATCATATGAAAGATGAGATGAAATACTACATTTAGTAAGGAATTATAAGCCGAAGGAAATAAAAACATCTGCCCTGAAGATAAGGATAGTGCTGACAGATCAACTTCCAATTCATTGCACCCCCTGCCCTCCCCCTTGCAGAGCAGCGTGAGACTGATAAACAGATTTCGGAATGGTTAGAGAAACAAAGGATATGCCTTTAACCATTTTTTGCAGCAATTCCACTTTTTGTTTAATGGACTTTGAAACATACTTTCGCTTTGTAGATCCTTTACATATTAGTAAATATATATCGGAAATTCTATTTGACATAATCGAAAGTTCAAGCTTACTTTTATAAAATTGCTCTAACAGTCTGCAAAAAATAATAAGCCGGCTCCAATTCAGGGGTGTTTGTGGGACCCCAAAAAATCCCCTGAAACTTTTACGGACTTACTACCGACATTTTAGAGTTTCGAGAAGGGGGAGAGAGAAATGAAAAATTACAATTATGAAGTACTGAATGACCTAATTATAAAAGTTCAATGAATTACTTTTTTTAGCAAAATTAGTAACCATAATTTTCAAAACATAAAACTACTACATTTATGTAAATATTTTAAATTACCTGAATAATTCTTTAAAAAAAAATTATCTAATTTCTGCTGCTGCTTTTATTTATGATGTTTGTGGGCTTGTCTTTCTTTTGTGGTGAACTCATAATTGCAGGAAGGTTGACTTTTATTTCCCTCATTTACGTTGAAGAATTTTCCTGAGAACTGCACAGCAGAGATAGAAGCAGTTTGCTTTTCTGCTAATGTAGAAGGTTTTTAGATACTTTTATAGGTGACATCTGAAATACATGTTTAAGTCCTCGATATGTTTCCACTTCTGTTCAATCAGTAAAAACCTTTGTGAATTGCTCAGTCATTGGTTTTTTAGCCATATTTTTTCACATAAGGTTTCTTTAGAAGCCATTAATCATATTTATAGTCTTCACTGCATCTAGGGAATCAATCTTAAGAGAGTTCTATAGTCAGTGACAAGGTATCCATTAAGTTGAATGACTTTCCCTAATTGACCATGGAGCAGCTAAGGCAGGCTTTGACCAATTAGCCAAGTAGGATACTTATAATCATTTGTGAAATCATCTTTAAATAAATTTAGACCAATATATCATTGTACACTTGACTTGATTTCCACTTTCATCAGATGGAGAGCATGTCTTTGGTGATATCAATATCATCTGGTTAACCTTATTCAGCTTCTACTTTTGACTTTTCATTATCACTAAAAATGGGACATAAAATATGATAATTTTTCAAATCTAATATTGTACACCCTTTTTTTTTTCACGCATGGTGTTACACGAGTCCTTAACACTAATTAATTTGCCATGGAATATTATTATCTTCAAAGTTTAACAACTGCTTTAAAACAGCTTCTGAATTGCAAGATTCCATCTTAGAGATGCAAAATGATGAACACAACTTCATTTTGATGTTTCATAAAACTGCACCAATATTGCCAGTATACTTTCTTGAGCATGCTATACTTTCATCCAATTTAGAGAAAATGGAGTCCTTTAAGTTTAATGATATTTTCCTTAGTATTTTGGCGAGCCCATATTCATCTTAAACATGAGTAGTCCTGGACATTTCCAAAGTTTGTGCCGTCTGACGTGTGCTCACTTTTGCAGAGTTCAATTAAATTGGGAGCTACATTGAAAGTAGAGAATTCTCAGCGATAATGTTATTATACCTCTTGGCGTGCTTTTCTTGTCACTATATCCAATGGCCGAGCATCATCCTCCAGTAATCATCAGATTTTTGAATTAGCATAATTACTTAAAGTCATGAATGTCTATGCACTTTGAATATTTATGTGCATCACAGTTTAGAATGATTTTGTGAAAGCCTTGATCCTTCCCCACAATACTTCAGCAGTGAGTTACAAAAACACAATATGCTTGTCAACACATTTATTTTCTTGCACCATGGCCAATGTATCCCCATTACCATCTCTCTGTTCAATCCAATTCCACCGAAATGATTCGGACCCTTCTTTCTAATTGGATATCACTATTTATATCGAGATTTAATAGAAATCTCTTGCGTACATAAATAAAAAAATATTTCATAACGAAACGAAATTTATGCATCAGCGGAGAAAAAAAAGTTGAGAATCGATCAATAAAATAGCTAATACAGCGAAAATCCCCTTCTCTACTTATTGGCACCACGCCACGAGAAACCTTAGCCCAAGTCAGTGATTGCCATCTTGTCGAACAAGTCTCTCCCTTTTTTTTTTTCTGCCGCGCCTACTTGCCGAAAAGAATCCGAGGAATGTCCGAGAAACCGGGAATGAATCATAACTCGCAAAAGGAAAGAACAAAAAAAGTTTTTCCCCTTTTCAAGCATTATCATGCCTTGGAGAAAGAAAGGAAAAGTTTTCACCACAACACGGACCTTGCGTTTCTGCTTTCAAAGCAAACAAATTACCCAGATCAAAATAATAATTCATTATTATTCCTACTTCCTTTTGAACGACGATCCCCGGAATTTTCGGGTATCGAAGTTCAAAATCCCCGGAGCACAAACACCCCTGCCAATTCGAAGATTAAGGAACAATGCAATCTGCAACATTAACTGAATTAGATCATTTTAACTTAGCTTATATTGTCCGCTATACATTAAACGTGTATGCGTAAACGTATTATGTGCATGCGCACACGCATATTCGCATCCGTAAAGGTCTTACGCGCATGCGTCAAAGCGACGCATTGCAGAAAGTTTGTAGCTTTGAGGTCCGGATTATGGGTGTCCGAATTAACGACTTTTGACTGTATAATGCTTACGTCTCATCAAGGGGGAAAAACACAAGAACGTCCTGCTCCTGAGTGCCATGCACCCAACATTGGAAATCGCATCTGATAACAAAACTACATGGAAAATTGTGAATTTTTACAATTCAGCCAAATATGGAGTTGATGTTTTGGACCCGATGGCCAGAAAATACTCAGTAAAGTCCTCATCCAGCCGCTGGCCAGTTTAAGTTTTTTTTTTTTTTAAAATATATATATATTCTTGATTTAGCCATGATAAATGCATGGATAATTTACAAGGAACCAACTGAATGTAAGAATATCAGTCATCGTGATTTTATTTCGAATATGGCTGAGGAGCTTCGAAAGCTACATGTCATCCAATTTCCAAGCTTTCCGTTCTAAACAAAAATAATTGGTACTTTGCGTCAACCCTTTCTGTAA